CTGTTTGAGAATAACACAGTTTCCAGTTCCCTTCAGCACAAAGCTGTAGGCTCAGCTCAGAATGCCTGTCTGGATGGCTCACATAGGCAGGAGTGCCCATCCTGTTTCTGGTGAACTTTCACAATATGTTTTTTCTTCTGTAGATCACAACCACCTTTCCCAAGGATCCAGTTTACACTTTTTCTATTTCGCAAAATCCATTTCCTATTGAAAACCGTGATGTGTTGGGTGAGACACAGGTAAGCTCTTTGTCTTAGAGACAAAATTTAATGGAACGTCTAGCATTGGTCTTATTTTTCTCACAGTCCCTTGGTTCATTGACTGACAAGTCCCGTGAGGCCCTGTTCTGGGTGTTGTTATTACCGGAATGTCTTTCCTTCAGTAGGCAGTAGATAACCATGCTTAAATCCCATGAAGCCCTTTGCCTATGGACTTGCTGTAACCCATTCTCACCTGCCTTTTTAAAAAAATTCTTTTATTTATTTGAGATTGATTTCTTTTTTTTTTTTTTATGTACATTGGTGTTTTGCCTGAATGTGTATCTATGTGAGGATGTTGGATACTCTGGAACTGGGCCTACAGACAGTTGTAAGCTGGGACTTGAACCCAGGTCCTCTGGAAGAGCAGCCAGTACTCTTAATCACTGAGCCATCTTTCCAGCCCCAATTTATTTATTTCTTATGTGTGAAGTGCTCTTCCTGCATGTATCCCTGCATGCCAGAAGAGGGCACCATTGTAATTGATTTTGAGTCACCATGTGGATGCTGGGACTTGAACCCTGGTCCTCTGGAAGTGCATCCAGAGCTCTTAACCACTGCGCCATCTCTCCAGCCCTTCACTTGTCTTTTTAGTGTTCCCATCATTTTACCACTTATTGTTGTCTACCAAGCTTTCTTTGTATATTGCTGTCCCATATAGTAGAGCAATGCACACAGTCTTACTTCCCTGTTGGTCTGCCCTGCCTTTCCTGTGTCTTGGGCTTGTTAGGGTCCATCAGGACTGAGGTGGCAGAGGCTGGCTGATGTCTGTGATTTCAAGTCTAGCCTGGTACATACATTTCCAAGACAGCTAGGGTAGGTAAAGGGATGTGTTCTGTTTATCTGAACAAGGACTTGGATCTGGACCCGCTTAAATACTTGCTTCCTTATATACCTGGGTCAGGTGTGCTTAGAGCTGCCCTTGTGCAGGAGAGTCACACGAGCAGCTCTCTGTACCTCTTCTGGACTCCCTTGTGGTTACTGAAACAGGATGTCTCTGCCATTTCATGCGCTTGTGCTTAGGAGGAGGCTGCACTCTTTCCCTGGTTCAGTGCTCGGGATTTGTGATCATTTCACTTCTTTGATGACTCTTTCCTTAGGACTTTCATAGTTTGGCCACCTACCTGTCCCAGAATACCTCCTCCGTGTTCTTGGATACCATCTCTGACTTCCATCTCCTGCTGTTTCTGGTCACCAATGAAGTCATGCCACTGCAGGTACCAGCTCTGCCCCCCTCTTGATTTCTTTCCTCCGATCCCAAGTACTGGGGGGCGGAGCTTGGTGTCAAGAAATAGCTGCCTCATTCCACAGTGTGACAATACACAGGCCATAGCACTTCACAGGGGAACTTCACTGTTGGTGGAGATGTTTGATCTTTAGCCTTTGTGGTGAAGAACAGTTTGGTTATTGAGAATCACCCGGAGAGCAGAGGGGAGTGAGCCATGTCCTCTAGCTTGTAGCCTTATGAGAGAGGAAGATGGGTCTTACAGACTTGGGCTCCTGTTCAACTGTGCTTCTAAGACCCAGGGTGTGTCTTCTCTGCTGTTGAGACTGTTTGAGAGGAAATTAAGTTTTAGTTAACTTTAGCATTAATACCTTTTTTCTCTTTCTCCATACAGAGAATTGATCCCAGTGATTTTTCACATTAGGCAAGCACTCTGCCACTAAGTTGAATCCCCAGTTAGAGCTAATGCATCTTCATTTTGCAGTGACAGCCTGAGATCTTTTCAATTTTCTTTTAAAAGCTGTTACTGAGCCGGACGTGCCTTTAATCCCAGCACTTGGGAGGCAGAGTCAGGCTGATCTCTGTGAGTTCTAGTTCAGCCTGGTCTACAGAGAGATTTCCAGAACAGGCTCCAAAACAATACAGAGAAACCCTGTCTCAAAAACAAAACCAAAAAACAAACAAACAAACAAAAAGCTGCTATTGATGTTAAGGGAAAAAAGATAGAGTCTTTCCTCTCAGTCAGAGCAAAGTAGAACCTTCCTGTGGCCTCTTGCAGGACAGCATCAGCCTGCTGCTAGAAGCCGTGAGGACCAGGAACGAGGAGCTGGCACAGGCGTGGAAGAAATCTGAACAGTGGGCCACCATCGAGCAGCTGTGCAGTAAGTGTCCCCATCCCCTCTGCCAAGGGCACAGCCAGGATGTGCAGCGTGAGCTCTGTTGTTTATGCCCAGGCACCTCCTTGGAAAGCTTGGGCAAAGGGACAAACACAAACTAAATCTTTAGTTGGGTATATGTCATGGTTGCTGGTGTGGCCATTCACTGTCCAGGTATAATCCTTGCGTTTGTAGAGTTTTAAGCTGTGTGACTTTGTGCAGCAGATAGATCATTGGTCTGAAAAGATGTTTTGAACACTGCATGTGTTACTGTCCCCTTCACTTTGATGATGGAAACAAAACAACTCACAGTGCTACTGCTGACAGGAACTCCATAAAGTGTCTGACTGTGTTGTTGGATTCTCTTCTACTCTAGCCCCATGTTGGGATGCCGAAATGTTTTTGTTTGTTTTTTATTCTTCCTCTTTTAGGCTCTTTATACTTTTGGGGGACCGACCACCCAGCTCTCACATAAATCACACACAGAGTCTTATTTCTTATAAATGCCCAGCCTTAGCTTGGCTTATTTCTAACCAGCTTTCCTTAACTTAAATTATCCCAGCTACCTTTTGCCTTTGGGCTTTGTCCTTTTCTTACTTCTGTGTATCTTACTTGCCCTCTTACTCTGTGGCTGGACCCTGATGTCCTCCTCCCTCCTCTCTCACATCTCCTTTCATGTATTCTCTCTGCCTGCCAGCCCCACCTTTCTTTTCTCCTGCCTCTCTGTTGGCCATTCAACTCTTTATTAGACCATAAGTTGTTTTAGACCCGCAAAGTAACACAGCTTCACAGAGTTAGACAAATGCAACACATCTTAAAATAATACTCCACAACATTTCCCCTTTTTTGTCTAAATAAAAGTGAAAGGTTTTCACATAGTAAAACTATTATCAAATAAGAATTAATTTGCAATATTCTGTTCAGTTGTAGTTAGGATATTCAGAGAAAACAATGCATTATCTATCCTGTCTTAGTGAATCCAAAGTTTTACACCTAATTTACTTTGAATCATCACTAGGGAAAATTTCAGCTAAAGCTGTCTAGCCTAAACCAACTCCATCAGAGATCCAGAAGGATGTAATATTATTTAACAACAGAATGTTTGACTACCTGGACAGCCATCCAAAATTCCTGTGCAATGTTGGGGCATCCATCTTCAGCCTACAGGACTAGAGTACCTGGCAGACTTTTCAGCGAAGCAGGAAAGTTCAAGGACTGTCCTGCCTTGTAGTGGCAAAGTTCAACGGTCACTTCCCTGTGTGTCGTGCATATGGTCTGCACAGGACACTGTAAACAGCCAAAGACAAAAGCAGTTTCCTTGCCCAGTGGCTAACCTTGCCACAATAAAAGCAAAGTCCATAAGAAGTTGCTTCAAATACCCATCATCTCAGAAGTAAATTGGAACTGCCAGGAGCAGATGGGTCTCATTATCGTGAAAACATTTTAATTTTAATGCTGTAGGTGTGTGAAGTTGTTTGAAAAGCATTTATCTATCTAAAATATAGCTCTGTATGACCGAGACAGGAATTCTCTGTGTAGCCCTGGCTGTCAAGCTCACAGAGATCCAACTGCCTCTGCCTGGCTACAATGGTTGTTAAAGACTAGAATTTTACCTTACATTTTTAAATGAATTGTATAGGTACAATAATACCTTAAAAAAGAGTAGATACATACATACAATATTTTTTAACAAAATAACCTTAAATTGTATCAGTATTCAAAAATCCTTTAACAAGAGAAGAAACATAGTGTTTTATAACAATTTGTATCAATATACAAAAACCCATGCCAATACAAAATATTGGAGATTAATAGTTTTCAGTTTAAAGTAGATTCAATAATCTGCCCTTTTATCATTCCTATATCCCCCAAATATAACAAACATCCACAACCTACCAAATAACCAAAGACCACACACACACCCCATTTTCTCCATACTAATTCCTGCTGTCAATAGGTGAAATACAATGGCCAAGTCCTGGAAAGACCAGTAGTAACCTTTGTTGATAGACATCATCTGTCAAGTTTCAGGATGTCTCCCCTGTTCAAACCAGATCCATATCAACCTGGAACAACTCTCTAGCCTCATGTTTCTTGTGGAAACAAAAGCAAAACTGCTTCTCCAAAGCATTTGATTTTCTACTTGACAAATACCTTTTTTTACCTTTTTTTCTGGTGGGGGGGACTTTTCAAGATAGGGTTTCTCTATCTTTGACTGTCCTGGAGCTCTCTCAGTAGACCAGGCTGGCTTTGAACTCACAGAGATCCACCTGCCTCTGACTCCCGAGGGCTGGGATTAAAGGCGTGCGCCACCAATGTCCGGCTTTCTTTTAGCCTTTTTTGACTGCACGAGCAAACTTTAGACTGTTAAACTACACCTGACTCCTCAGAACTAGAACTACTCTGCAAGCTGGCTCCGCACACTCTTGGGGCAGGTCCAGAAAGCCAAGCCTAAAACTTGAGTGATTCAAACTTTCTAGAGCTATAGAATGTCAATGCTTGCGCTGTGGCAGGCATTTTTACTTTTTTTAATAGAAAAAAAATGTTTATTATGAAGTTGTTTTAATTTAGAAATAGAAAACCTCTTAGGTAGGAGGAAAGTAAAAAAACAACAAAGTATACAGGCAGCTTTTCATGAGTTTCTCACACCCTCCTTTGTTCTCTAGTTCCCATGAAGGGAAAGCACTCAGCCCCCACAATGTTATTAATAGGGATATGGATCCATTTCACAAAGAAGCCAATGAATCCCGTGATAGCAACTCGGATGGCTGTAGCCATGGCAATCTTCTGGAGCCCTTTTCTATCAGCTTTGGTGCATCTTTTAACCAGTGGAATTGAGTCCTTTATGAAGTGCTGACTTGGCACAACAAACTGCATTACCTGATCCATGATTGATTGCTGGATAGCGATTTGAGAAGATTTTTTTCCATCTCTACTTAACATACTGGCTGTTCCAGGACTCACCAGCAGGTGAAAACTCTTGCAGAAGCTGTGTACTTTTTCCCAGCTTCCTCAGGCCCTACATGGGAATATGGCCCCACGTTAGTATGCTAAAATGTTGAATTTTGGTTGTTTTTGTTTTTATTCTTCCACTTTTGGGCTCTTTATACTTTTGGGGGGCCTGCCACTCAGCTCTCACATAAATTACACACACAGTCTTATTATATCTTATAAATGCCCAGCCTTAACTTGGCTTATTTCTAGCCAGCTTTCCTGACTACCCTTTGCCTCTGGGCTTTTTCCTTCTTCTTACTTCTGGGTATCTTACTTTCACTCCTACTCTGTGGCTGGCTGGGTGACGCCCCTGACGTCCACCTCCCTTGTTCTGCCTTGCTTCTCCCTTGTCTCGCCTTCTCCTATTTATCCTCTCTGCCTGCCAGCCCCGCCTAGCCTTTCTCCTGCCTCTCTATTGGCTGTTCAGCTCTTTATTAGACCATCAGGTGTTTTAGACAGGCAAGGAATCACAACTTCACAGAGTTAGGCAAACGCAAGACGTCTTTACATAGTAAAATAAATGTTCTAGAGTATAAACAAATGTGACACACCTTAAAATAATATTCCACAGCAGCCTGGTGATCCAGTCCTATGCACAAGATTGGTGGTGAGAACTGAGAGCTGTTAAACAGCATCACAAAAACAAGATACCTGGGCTGAGCATGGTGGTGCACACCTATAGTCCCAGCACTTGGGAGGCGGAGGCATGCGGATCTCCGTGAGTTCAAGGCCACCCTGATCTGTAGAGTTTCAGGGCAGCCAAGGCAGCAGTGAAACCCTGTCTCAAACAACAACAAAATGTGTGTATTTTTTGACTGAAACTTCAGTCATCAATATCGGGAAAGCAACATCTTGTAGGTAGACTGACTCTTCATACTTACAAGCTCTCCTGGTGTCATGGGAGCCCCAGCGCAGAACTTACCTAATGCAGGCAGGCGTATCTCTGTGAGTTCAAGGCCACCGTGGTCTCTCCAGAGTGAGTTCCAAGACAGCCTTCAAAGCAATATAGAGAAACCCTGTCCCCAAGAAAAAGAGCAAAAAAAGAATGAAACTACTCTCACAGCAATACTTAGCAACAAGGGAGCAAGTTCCCTGCCTAGTGCAGAGCAGGGTGGGGTATGTGCTGACAGTTTGTGCTCAAACAGAATGGGCTTCCGAGCCACCTCTGCCCCTGCCGTGGTGCTCTTGGGAGATGTCTTTTCTGTGCAGCAATGATGTGCTCTCCCTACTCTGCCCTACAGGCACTGTTGGTGTGCAGCAATGATGTGCTCTCCCTGCTCTCCCCCACAGGCACTGTTGGTGTGCAGCTCCCAGGCCTTCATGAATATGGTGCAGTTGGGGGCTCTGCACGGGCTGCTACGTCTGCCATGTGGGCCTGTCAGCACTGCACCTTCATGAACCAACCCGGCACCGGCCACTGCGAGATGTGCAGCCTCCCCAGGACCTAGGGCTCTGGCCCTCTGCTGAGCGGGACTGGGCCAGCCCAGCCCTCTCTGAAGCCTGGAGCGCCACATGTTTCCTATAAGGCCTGAAGCCCATAGCCCCAAAGCAGTGGGGCCAGCTACCCTGGTATTCCAGATACACTGAGGCGTCTCAGTGCGGATCTTGAAGAGAAAGAGCCCCAGCTGCTATGCTGGGATTGAACAGAACCTCCCGACTGGAAGGGCAGAGCAGCCCTGCCCAAGAACACCCCACACGCCTCACCTAGTTAATAGCTCCCCGCTGTATTGGAAGGACTGAGCGCCTCCAAACAACCCCCTGAAACGGGGGTGCACAGAGAGGTTGCTGCTGTCGCCCCGCTGTCTTTCCTCCTCTGCTTTTTGTTCTCTGCCTCCCACCTTTTCCCCGGTTTGTGGACGGATGCTCCTGGCTGTCTGCGCCCCCTTGTGTGGGGCTGTGTCCCCTGCGGGGAGCATGTGTGACTAGGTGGTCCTCGGTCTGACCTGCAGTGTAGTGCGCCCCTGCCCTTGCCTGAAATCAGCAGTTATCAGTAATTCCTGCCCAGAAAACTTTTATTTATTGTTTTTAAGATAAAACAGCACAGATGGGAGTGAGGGCGACTTAATGCTGCTTTCTTTCCTCCTTCAGTGCAGCCCCTCCTGGGTGTTCAGGGTGGTTATTGGGCAGGGGCCGCCATCAGTTCTCCTCTGAAGCAAACCTCAGTGCCTGAGACTTTCCTATCATGCCACGGATGGTGGCAGCCGGTAGCCTGGGTGGGTTAGCAGAGCAGTGGTTGCTCTTGCTTGGCAGGCAGCCCCTCATGTCTGTGGGAGCCCTGGGAACCTGGTCCCCTCTCCCAGCACTGCTCCTTTACCCAAGGCCTCCCTACACTGTGGCCTTCTTGCGCAGTGCTGTGGTAGTTGAGACAGCCTAGAGGAGGTGCCCATATGACCATCACGAGGCCTGGACAGGTGTGGGCCTCCCTCGTGGCTGTGTTGTGACAGCCCTTACCCAGGTAAGATATGGATATCTTGATGCCTCTTTGCCTTAATGAGAGCTCTGTCAGCTGTCCTTCACCCTGGGAAAGGCCGTGCCAAGCACAGACTACTGGAGGCCACGTGTCATTTTACTAGAGTGCACCCATGCTGCCTTCCACATCCTTGGCCCTGTGGGCAGAACAGTTACCTGCTAGGTTTTCATGTGGTGGGCAGGGCTGGGGTCAGCGTCTCTGGTTTCACCTGGCAGGCAATGTGAGGTCAGAGGCCCTGGGACTGTGGACCCACTGAGTTTGGTTTAGTATTGACAGGGTCATCCTGGAGGGTCAGGAGGCAGAGAGCAAGCTGTCTCTCCAGCCACCTGCCAGCAGTCTACAGAGAAATCTACAGAGGGCTGTCTATATCCCTCCTGGTAGTCTCCCTGGTTAGGGCTTCACACTGTGTCTTTTCTGGTCCCTGAGTCTGGTAGACTGGATGTCCTGGCATAGCCGTGTCCTTGACTCAGCTGTGTTCCTGGTGCCAATTGTACCAGCACCATCACTCATGCTGGCAGCTGCTGCCCAGCACAAACTCTGGAGAGCTTTTTGCCACCACCTATTCCCCCACTCATCTTTGTCTACAAAGTTAATTACTTTTTCTCTCGTGTTTTGGAATCCATATCATTCTTGTTTTCATATCTTTAGCTAAAGAAATTGTTGTGATTTCTCTGCTTATGGTTTTGAATTACTCTTTGTTCAGTAATGCACTTTATTTTATTGTCCAAAGAGAGTCAAGCTAATGCTACCAGCTTGGGGTGAGCCCTACAGAAGGTTCAGGCCTGAGCAGCTCAGCTACCTCCTCCACGGAGGTGGCCCTAGTCCCACCTCTAATCCCTCCTGCCATCAGGCACTGCGACCCAAAAGGGGGTGCCTGTGGGTATTCCTACCCAAGTGACCCAGTGGCTGCCATGGTCCTCCTCAGGCTCAGAGATGGGCCCTCGCCCTGTCCTTGCTCTGACCAGCCTGTTCCCAGGACATGGTGCTCCCGCTTCAGCTCTGACTTGGGCTCAGGTGTGCACTGGCTGGGTGTGGACTAGTGTCCTTTGACCTTAGCCCTGCAGTGGAACCTAATAAAAGCGCCTGAAGCGACTGCCCTGCTCCCAGTGCCTTGTTCTGTGCCCAGAGCCATTGCCCGCCAGGTGTGTGTGTGTGTGTGTGTGTGTGTGTGTGTGTGTGTGTGTGTGTGTGTGTGTGTGTGTGTGTGTGTGGTGTGTGCACACCACCTGTACCACATAGGGACAGTCTTCAGCGTTAAAGCCTGGTGTGCAGAAGATAAGCTGAGGATGCTTCCAGCTCCGTGGTGTCTTCAGCAGCCTGGGGATAGGGCCCAGACATCTGTTCCAGAGGCCACAGGGAATTGGCGCAGTAGGTCCAGGCCCTCCCGGACAGCCTCACCCGCGGGTTAAGGTTGTGGTCTGGCTTTTTAGTTTTTAATTTACAACTGGGCATGGTGGCAGATGCCTTTAATTCCACCACTCAGGAGGCAGAGACAGGTGAATCTCTTGAGTTCCGAGGCCAGCCTGGTCTACAGAGCAACTTCCAGGACATCCAAGGCTACACAGAGAAACCCTGTCCATAAAAACCAATGATAAACTAATTTTTTTAGAGATAGTCTCACTGTGTAGTCCTGGCCTGTCTTTGCCTCCAGAGTGCTGGGATTAAAGGTGTGTACCACCACAGGCGCATCATTTTTATTGTGTTTTTGTGCACATTAATAGAAAGGCCAGTAGAAGATGTAGGAGCCCCCGGGGCCGCCAGGGGTTGTAGATGCTGGAAATCAAACTTAGGTCCTCTGCAAGAACAGTGTGTGCTCTCAGCTGCTGAGCCATGTTCTAGCCCAGGGTTGTGCTTTGAAAGCTACACTAGGGTTATACTATGCCCAAGCTCGTGGGACATTTTCTTTTGTTGTGCCCCAGACACCTTTATTCCTAGATTTGGCCGCTGAAGTTTTCAGACGAGCATTAAGACAGGGTTTCCTGAGCTCAAGCAATCCTGCCTCAGCCTCCGAGAAGCTGCCACCTCAGCAGCGTAGGCCACTGTGGCATCTGGTTGCTGATGAGTGCTCAGGCGGAGAGCACTTACTTGATCTTCCACTTGGGGCGTCATCCAGAGTAGGGTTCTCACCTCAGCCTGCTCCCCCAAAGAGCTGCCTGCCCTCGAGGAAAACGGAAAGCCTCCCTTAGACCTTGCTCTTAAGAGGCCTCTCAGCATCCTCTGCTCCCGACGCGTTCATACGGAGAGCGCAGGCTCGCCTGGCTGGCCCGAAGCCCCTTTTCTACCACCACCACCACCACCACCACCACCCCGCCCCGGTCAAGGGACTGCTCAGGGTACTGAGCCACCCAACTCCAAAGCGCCTGTGCCACGTTGGTGACACCCTCCCAAGTGCTGACACAAAACGGGGTGCGGCATACAAGGCTGTATGCGCCAGAGCAACCTCTGCTCGCCAGGTAGGTGGTCTGAGGCAAGGACCCCCTACCCGGGCCAGAGTGGACCCGAAAGATCTCCTCCCATCTGGCCGCCCTCGGGCTGGCTTCCCGCGTCCCGCCCTGAGCCGCGGCTCTTCCCTCGGTCGCAGCGTGCCCGCCCTGCTGTGACCCGCCCCCGCGTCCCCGCACGGGTCCCAGCCCCGCCTCCGCAGCGGCCGCTTTACGGCGGAGGCCGCGCCGCGCTGTGGGCGGCCGTAAAGCCCGGAGGCGGCGCCGCCTCTCGAGGCTGAGCCCTGGCCCGGCGCCCGCAGGATGGCGGGTGCTGCCGCTGCCTCTGCCTCCCGCGTGCACTACCTGTCCGACTTCTGCTGTCCGCTCGGAGGCCGTGCGGGGGCCAAGCCGCATGTGCTGCGTCACCAGGCGGAGGTCTTCCTGTCCACCGGGCGCGAGTTCGTCTATGTGTACGACCAGGAGGGCGGGGTGCTGACGGTGAGCGGCGGGCGAGCGGGCGGCGCGGTTCCGAGGTGAGCCGGGGCCGCGTGTGCCCTCGCCTGACCTCGCTCTCCTGGCGCCCAGGCGGTGTACCAGTTTCCCGACCAGGTGTGGCACCTGCAGCTGCTGGCGATCCGCAGGGCGCTCTACGTCCTGTGCGCCCGGACCGGCATCTACTGTCTGTCGCTGGACAACCGGGACAGGTGAGGGAGGGGGCGTGGCCGCACGCGGCTCGTGTGGCCCGTCCGTGCACCCAGTCGGGTCCCTAGGGAAGCTCGCAGGTCTGAGACCCGCTGACATTATCCTACCCAGTCCCGTGCTGGCCGGCCAGCCACTGACTGCACGCGGGAAGCAGGCAGGGGACGGCGGTCTAGGCCATCCGGACCCGCTACTTGGAACCTCCTGCCCCCAACACCCGTGCACTAACTCCGTGGGTGCGACCCGAGAGTGTGTGCCTCCACGAAGTTCTTAGCTGTTGAGGCTCAGGTAGCAAAGTCTGTAGCCAGGAGCACAACTGCCCGGGTGTCTGGCAAGACCTCTCAGAAGTGGGTCTCAGAAAGAGGTGTGTCGTCCTGTTGGTAGGGACAGCCAAGGCTTGTTGGCCATTGGCCGGTGCTGGGAAAGCAGCGCGCACAGCCCAGATGCAGCACTGGGGACCCATTCCCACGCGCGCACGGGTGAGCATTGTCTGCCTGCTGTGGGGCTGTGCTTCCGGCTGATCCGTGTGTCAAGGGGTGTCTGTGTGTGTGTGACCTGCTGAGTGGCCTGTGGAGGGCGTGGGAGCGAGCACTTCCCGAGATGCCTCCTGCCCGGCCCGCCCGCCAACCGAGAAAGTCAGGTTATTGTTGTTGAACGCGAAAATGAGGCTACCCCACCCAGCACTGCCTGCTGTTCCATTGTGTTCCTGAAGGTCTGTGATCCAGGCCTGTGAGGACAAGGAGGACGACACTTGCTCTACCCCTGTGATCCATGTGGACCCAGACGCCTGTGTCCTCCCCAACGCTGCGCTCTGTGCCTTCACCGTGCTCGATGACATGCTGGTCACCCTGGTGCAGGGCCCCACCCAGTGGAAGATGCAGCTGTTTGAGCGTCCCTGTCCAGGGGAGGAGCCTGGGCTTGGAGGCCAGATTGGCGAGGTGGAGCTGTCCACCTGCACCCCTCCAGGTGGGGTGCCCGGGAAGCCCTCAGCCCCCTGCTTCCTGCCGGTGCTGTCCTGCGCGTTCCCACCAGACTCCGGGGCTCCTCACGGTCACCCCCAGGGCTGTGGCTGCTTCACGCTGGAGGAGGCCCTCTTTGGCCTGCTCTTTGGAGCCGATGCGGCCCTCATGCAGTCCCCCGTGGTCCTCTGCGGCCTCCCTGACGGCCAGCTTTGTTGCGTGGTCCTGAAGGCCTTGGTTACCTGTGGGTTAGCCCCCGGCGACCCCAAGGCCTTAGTCAAGATCCTCCATCACCTGGAGGAGCCTGTGGTCTTCATTGGGGCCCTGAGGGCAGAGCCACACGCTGAGGAAGAAGCAGGAGAGCCTCTGCCCGAGGAGAATGTACACTCTGACTGCCTGGTGGCCCTGGGCCACCAAGGCCGGACACTGGCCATCAAGGCCAGCTGGAGTGAGTCGGGGAACCTGGTACCAGACCTTCGTGAGTACTGCCTCCCGGGGCCTGTGCTCTGTGCTGCCTGTGGCGGGGACGGCCTCATGTACCACAGCACCCCCTCAAACCTCTGTGCTGTAGACCTGACCCGGAGAGACGCTCCCTGGAACCCTGAGAAGCCAGGCGGGGCCGCGGGAGGCCTGCCCTCCACGCTGTGCCCAGCCAGTTTGAACATCTGCAGTGTCGTCACTCTCTGTGTGTCGTCAAGGGCACCCACAGGTACGGACCTGCTGTTAGATATGACCGAGCCTTGGGACAGTCCCTTCCCCCTGAGCTGTCCCTGCTTTCCTCTTTGGCGAGACGTGTGCTAAGGCCGGCAGGTACGGGCTTTCCTCACCAGGCCTGTCACAGAGCAGTGGCTCCCTCACTCCCGTCTCGGGGTCCAGGTAACCCCTGTGTGTTGTGTCCTGCCTGGGATTGGGCAGTGTGCTGCCCTGCCTGGGTGTTCTCTGTCCCCTACACACACACTTGAGTGCCAACTCACAGCATGTGGCTTGTGGAGTTGCCATAAGAGCATCCCCCCACAGCAGGGACAAATCAGGTCAGGCCAAGCCTCCCCGTGTCCTCCCGGGGAGCTGGGCGAGCCTGCTTTCGCTGCTGTGTGTGTGACCTGTTTATGAGCCATTCAGAGGGTGTCTCAGAAAGCTTCAGCTGGGTTTGCCTGACTCTGGAATGAGAAGAAGATGTTAAGTCCTCAGAAAACCGTTAACGGGGGAAAAATGCTTGGAAGAGCCATGCTACCACAGGGCTTGGGGCACGGGTAGGCGTAGGTACATAGGAACTGACTGACTTTCAGCTGACCCAGGGTGTAAGCTACCTACGTCAGGGCTTGTGGTAAGAGCTGTGTTGGGAGCAGGGAAGCCAGCAGACCTTTGTCAGGGGCAGCCTCTGTCCCCTCAGTGCCAGGCGAGAGCAGGAGGATGTGGTAGAAAAGCCGGGCTTTCTGAGAGGAGCCCAGTGAGGATGAGGTGAGGAGAGCTCAGCCTCGGGGACACTTGTCTCTGTAAGGCTCAGCGGCCTTGCTCCGTGTGGCCTGTTGAAGGTCGAGACACTTAAGAGTGACTGGACATCGTCCCCCGTTTGTCCTGCCTGTGTGGGTCAGTCATTACCGTGGCATCCCATCTGGGCCGACAGCATCTCGTGTAGGCAACTGGAAAATGTGTGTAGAGACCCGGGGTCACCTTCTCTGTCCAGCCCCTTGGTGTGGGCTTCCCCGGTGTTCCACACCCCCCCAGAAACTCACTTCCTTCCTTGGACACGGCCTGGGCCCTTTGCCAACCCTTTCCCTGGAGTCCAGAGCAAACACTGCTGTGTGTCTGGCAGCTGCCCCACACTTGCTGACTGGCCCTGCGTGTGTGTCCGTTGTCCGTCATCAGGTGGCGCCGAGCTCCTAGCCCTGTCTTCTAAAGGGCGCCTGATCACCTGCAGCCTGGGCTTGAACTCTGAGGTACCTGTGCCTCCCAAAATGACTATGGCAAACGCAGGCCAGAAAATTAAGGAGCTGCTCCTGGACATCGGTGATGTCTCTGAGAGGTGAGCTTCCGGCTCTGTCTCAAGCGGAGCCTGTGTCTCTGTCCTTGTGCAGCCGACTCAGGCGAGGGAGGTCCTGGGTAACAACCATGCGTGTGACTATCTCCATCAGGGGCCAGAGAGTGCGCCTCGCCCTCAGAAGACAAGTCATCCCTTCCTCCTCAGTCCCCTCTTATCTAACAGGACCCGGGAGCCTTCTACCGCCAACCCCTGGCCTGTTTCTGTGGACCCTCCTTAAAGGCCGGCATTGTGTTCCTGCCCTCAGCAAAGTTTCCAACAACCAAGCCTTCCCCACAGCCACCACCAGCTAGCTAGCTCCTCTTGCTCCTCGTGACTTGGGGCCCGGAGCCGGTGATGTGTGGGCCCTGTGGCCCTTGCGTCTCGGAGATAGCCGAGTAGGCCTACAACCTACCATCGCTGTGGAGTGCGGCAAGGGGGGAGGGTGCCATTTGGGAGCACACGGGGTGATTTGTGGGGCTAACCCATCCCTGGTAGGCGTAGGCCGGTCGACAGCCAAGAACAAGGATCAGGTCGAAACTGAACGCAGCTTCTGACGGGTTTCAGGGGCCAGACAGGGAAAGGCTCCTTCCTGCTCCTTAGGCCTGGGAGCCGCCTGCTCCCCCTGAGAGCTCGCGCGCCCACAGCCGCGGGCCCCCTCTGCTGTGCTCTCACTCTCCTGGGCGTTGTGTCTGTCCCCTTGCAGAGTGTCCTTCCTGAAGAAAGCTGTTGACCAGCGCAACAAGGCCCTAACAAGCCTCAACGAGGCCATGAACGTGAGCTGTGCCCTGCTGTCCAGCCAGGAGGGCGTGCGGCCCATCTCATGTACCATCGCCACCTCCTGGAGCCGCCTGGAGTTACGAGACGTGCTGATGGCCACCTGCACGCTCGAGAACGGTAGCAGCTTCAGCCTGGACCAGGGCTGGACCTTGTGCATCCAGGTGCTAACGAGCTCCTCCGCCTTAGACCTGGACGGGGCCGGCTCGACTTTCACCTACACCATCCCAGTGGACAGACTCGGCCCAGGCAGTCGGCGCGAAGTGACATTGCCCCTGGGCCCCAGCGAGAGCGGCGCGCTCGACCTGCCGGTGACCATGTCCTGCTGGCTCTTCTACAGCCTCAGGGAGGTGGTGGGCGGGGCCCTGGCCCCCTCCGACCCGCTAGAGGCCCCCTATCTGGAGAAGCTCCCACTCAACCTCCCTAAGCAAGATGGCGTCTGCCTGCCCCTGTGCAAGCGCACGGTGGACATGCTGCAGTGCCTGCGCTTCCCCCGGCGCGGCCTCGCAACCTGCCCAGGCCCCCTGCGTGCCGGGCCCTGCCCGCGAGCCGGTGGAGACCTTCCTGAAGACCTGCCAGGCCCCCGGCGGCGAGCCAGCCGGCGCTGCCGCCTCCCTTCGGGCCAAGTACCTGCCTCCGTCCACGGCGTCCATCAGAGTGTCGGCGGTGCTCCTCAGAACCGCCCTGGAGGGCGGCCACTCAGGTTGGTGGCCCCACTGGCTTCACTTTGGCCTCAGGGCCCTGTAGCCTGTGGGGGTCGGCTGCTCCTCTGTCTCCCCGTGTCTCACCAACCCACCCCACCCACCCCCACCCCCATCCCCATGAGGTTCCACTGCACCCTCCCTGATGGTTTTGGAGCCCTGTGTCACGTTGCCCTGTGGTCATGTCCTTTGTGTGTTTAAAAAAAAAAAAAAAAAAACCTAAGCAGAGGCAGATGCCGCCAAAGAACAGCTTGGTAAGTCCTCACGCCCGGCGTCTCCATACCAAAAGCCGGTCCTGCCTGAAGTCTGCCACAGCACTGGGCCCGGCTCTCGCTCTCGCTCCCACACACAATGTGCCCAGCCATTTGTATTGCTTGGCGCAGGCCCTGTGGCAGAAGTGTCCTGACTTCTGGTACTTCTGCCCTGCTCCCACAGGGTGTTGGGGTGTGCGACAGTCTGTCCCCCGCCCCCGAGGCCTGAACCCGCCTTGCGCAGCATTTCTGCCTGTGCACCTCAGTGTGCAGTTAAGACCGTGTGCCCTGTGCCTTGTAGAATCCCCTGGGGTGAGGGTCCAGCTCCGGGTCCCTGGCTTTTCTAGTGACCCCCCCCCGTTCCTCCCTGTCTCTCGGGTAACCAGCCTAGCTCCCTACTTGCGGCAGGACTGTGGGCGTGCGTCCGGGACACTTAGGGCAAAGGGAGCAAGTGTGGGAAGCCGCACAGGTGCCATTTGGCACGTCCCGCCACGCTCGGGCGGTCACCTCTCTCTCCCAGGTTCCCACCTGTGCAGCGCCACCCTGCAGTGGCTCCTTGCCGAGAATGCCGCCGTGGCTGTTGTGAGGGCCCAGAAACTGTCCTCCATCCAGGGAACAGCACCGGACGGCACCGACGTCAACCTCATCGTCCATGAGGCAAGCAGGGGTCTCTTGTGTGTGCCTTTGGGACGGGCCGCGGGGCCCACAGTCCTCAGTGGGGAGTCACTGTACTTCAGTCCCCATCCGCCTCACCAACACTGGGTCCCCGGGAGGAGCAGCCCTGTCTGACCCACCCTGGGTCCCCTCCTTCCTGTGCACTGCTAGGGTCACAGTGGACAATAAATACAGTGCTGGTGGTTACCCATCCCAAGCCAGTAGCAGTTAACCTCTTGGAGCACCGAAGGGCAGTGGGCCCCTTTGGGGAACTTCAGATGAGACAGCCCATCCCCTCTGGCCTTTCCTTCTCATATAACCCTTTTTCTTTGTTTTTTTCCCAAGACAGGGTTTCTCTGTATTGTTTTGGAGGCTGTCCTGGAACTCACTCTGTAGTCCAGGCTGGCCTCGAACTCACAGAGATCCACCTGCCTCTGCCTCCCCAGTGCTGGGATTAAAGGCGTGCGCCAACAACGCCTGGCTTCTCCTGGGTTTTTTGAGACAGGGTTTCTCTGTAGCTTTGGACCCTGTCCTGGAACTCACCCTGTAGACCAGACTGAGAAAGCTCAAGATCCTCCTGCCTCTGCCTCCCGAGTGCTGGGATTAAATGCGTGCACCGCCGCCACCTGGCCTCATATAGCCTCTTTTTGGGGTCCTCCCAGCAGCTAGGGTCCCCTGCAGTAGGCCTTACTATCAGAGACTCTTGGAGAATAAGCCCTGTCTGTCAAGAGCCGTGGTCTCTACTCAAGCTCAGGTTATTTTAGTGATCAGGCCACGTCCTCCAAGCTCCCCACCTCACTGCCCACCGCACTGCCCACTCAAGCCCTGTTGGGACCAACATCTAAGCCGGATGACCCCTGACCAAGGCTAAGAACTGGCATTGGTTCTGGTCAGTGTACAAAGTCTGTGCTGGCAGCCACATGGAGAAACCCCTGGTGGCCAAGGCCTTTCTGCAATCCTCAGCCTGTCCAGTTAGCACAGTCAGAACCTCCTGAAGGACGCTGACATGTCCACAGACGGGCACTTCAGTTCCCTGTGTTAGGACCGCACGCCATCCCTGGCATGGAGCCAAGCTTAGCTTGGGTCTAGGTGCAGCTCAGAATGAGGTGGTTCCTACGGGATTGGATTCTGAGTCGTCGTGATATGACTGTCCCTTGCAAATAGGTTTCTTACCTTGGTTCTCGAGCCTGCCTGCCTATAAAATGTAAAGAACAGCCCAGCCTACGTTGCAGCTAATCGGGGCCTCTTACGCTGCAGGTAGCTGTGACTGATTTGAGCCCCGCGGGGCCCATCCAGGCTGTGGAGATCCAAGTGGAGAGCTCCTCCCTGGCCAACATGTGCAGGGCACACCACGCTATCATCAGGCGAATACAGGTACCACGGCCAGCAGGGGTGGGGGGCTGGGGAAGGGAGGGGGCCGGCAGCTATCTGGGTTTCCTCTGTGGACCCACGCAGCTGTGTGTGGACAACAGGTTGCGCTGTCACCTCCCGAAAGGGTGCATGCGTGAGCCTCTCTGGAGCAAGCAAGGCTGTGCTGTCAACCGGTGTCACCTGCAAGTTCAGAAATGGCTGAGTCTGCACGTCCGATAAATCTCTAGCCACTGCTTGCCATGTCTGGGGCAAGGCCCCAGATACAGATTTGCAGGCCAAGGCGCCTGTGCTGTCCCAAGCACCCATCATCGGTCACCCTCTGGTGTGACTCAGCCTCAGGGCAAGGTCCACAGAGGCCACCTGGCAGTCCTGCGGTTGGTTCTGGGCTGTGGCCTTCTACCAACCTCACCCTGGAACTTGACCCAGTGTACCCTGGTGCTTCCCCACCACCACCCCAGAACCAGGGGCCTGGTAGCTGACAGGTGCTCTGTGAGTGCAGGGCCAGGTGGAGGAGCTAGCTGCTCTCAGAGCCGCAAGCTCAGCCCCCGCACATGACCCCCAGTGGTTAACTGCCTTGTCGTGAGCCGTCTGTGATGTTCACCGCACAGAGTGAGTGGTGGGTTCAGGAGTTCAGTCCCCATGCTGTGGACTACCAGCAGGGTAGTCTCCAAGGCAGTGGTGCCACCAGCCAGAGATGACCCACAGGGCCGGCCAGCCTCCAAGAACTTCTGTCGCCTTTCCCCCAAATTTCCCGTTACAAGGACACAGTCACATAGGAATAAAGCTGCCCTGGTGACTTTATCTTGGTCATCTGCAAAGACTCAGTTTCAAAAAAGTTGTAGTGTTAGGACTTGGTGTGTGACTTCAGGGGGACACAGTGGATCCTTGAGAGAGAATCACGTGGCGTAACTGTCCCCTAGGCAGCATTCAGCAGGGCACCTTCAGCCAAACACTTCTGTGGTGCATAGCCAGGACTCTCCCAGAGGTTAGCTTCCCCATAGGCAGCAACCCCCTGGGCCCCGGGTGGATATTCAGCTTCAGCTGCAGGAAGCTAAGCTGTCTTCAGAAAGCAAGAACGAATGCCCGGCCCTAAATAACCCTCAGAGGAAATGAGCAAATATATCAGGTGGGGGTCCTGCCTAAGGCCCAGCCCAAAGTTTGTCTGAGCCACAGAAGTGAGAAAAGGGTTTTTAGTTGTTTGTTTTGGGGGATTTTTCTTTTTTTTTTTTTTTATCTAGACAGGGTTTCTCTGTGTAGCTTTGGAAGCCTATCCTGGCACTTGCTCTGTAGACCACGCTGGCCTTGAACTCACTGAGATCCGCCTGCCTCTGCCTTGAGAAAAGTGTTTTAAAACATCTCTTTAAGCTGGGTGTTGTGACATGTCCTTATGTCTTTAATCCCAGCACTTGGTAGATAGAGGCAGGTGGATCTCTATGAGTTCAAGGCCAGCGTGGTCTCCAAAGCAAGTTCCAGGACAGCCACGGCTATTATACAGAGAAACCCTGTCTCAAAAACCAAACACACAAAAAAGGTCCAGGCCTAGTGGTACATTCCAAAATCCTGGCAGGAGGATCGGGAATTCAAGGCCAGCCTAGCCTAAGCTCCATAGCAAGTTTGAAGTCACCCTGGGTTATTTCAGGTCCTGACTTAAACTCTAGAAGCATCTTTCTTAATTACTGTGGGTGGGAGTTCCAGCTGCTCTGAGGAGGAACGTCCTGAGGAGCAGGGTGGGAAACACTACTGGGTGAATGAACGAGGGGGCCTCTCCACAGGAGTCAGGGCCAGCTGGTTAGAAAAGCCAGGTGGTAATGTTTGGGGAGACAGACAAGAAATGGTCACTATGTGATCTGAGGACCATGAAGATCCTGGCCTCTAGACTCAGGCACCCACTCTGGGAAACAACTCTCCAGTACCCGTCCCCCAACCCTTCTGTCCCCCAGACCATGGTCACAGAGCAAGCTGCCCAAGGTGCCAGCCCACCTGACCTCCGAATGCAGTATCTACACCAGATCCATGCCAACCACCAGGTGAGCCCTGGTCCCTGGGTGTGAGGAGTGTCCCCAGATGGCATGTGGGGGGCCCGGTTTCCAGTGTGGGCGGGGTTCCCAGGATGGAATCAAGATGTATAGGGCTATGTCCATTTCCTGTTTCCTGGCCATACCCACGTGGCTGTATGTCACATATATAAGGCCATGTTACCCGGTGTCCTATTTTGGACCACCCTCTACCTCCCTCCCAAGTACAAGATGCTCATGGGCGAAGGCCCCGGGCTGAGCTGTGCTGCCTGCCCACAGGAACTGCTTCGTGAGGTGCAGACACTGCGTGACCAGCTGTGCACGGAGGATGAAGTCAGATCCTGCTCCACAGCCCAGAAGCTCCTGCAGGTTTACAAGCAGCTGCGCAACCCTAGCCTCGTCCTGTTGTGACCAGATGGGTCCTGGTCCTCTTCCTCCAGTGCGCCAGCCTTCGTGGCTCTACGCGGGCCGGAAAGGATACTCTTTGGCTCCCTGGCTCAGGCAGCTGCGCCTCCTGGCTGGTCAGCCAGAAAGGCCGAGAAAGTGGGGTGTGAGGAGGACCCGGGCAGTGCCTGAACCCACTAGGGTTTGCTGCCTCTCATGCTCTCCTCCCTCCCTCCCTCCCGGCACAGCTGCTGGCCAGCCTCTCCTCACTGCGGGACTCACTTCAGGATGAGCTCTGGGGCGTGCCTGGGGGCACCTCCCCGCCCCCACTGATGGGAGACACCGCTGCCCAAGTGCCCGGACCATGAGGACACAGTGTTTCTGGGGTCTGGACTTGTGGGTTTGGGACTGTTCTGCCGCTGACACACACACCCCGCCCCCCACCCGCCCGCCGTGCCCCAGGAGCGCTGGCTGCCCCTCCGGAGCCACCAGGCGGCAGAGTGCCCACCGCAACCAAAGCACAAAGACCATGGGAAGGCTCCCACAGCCCCGGTGTCCCAGCCTCCTCCTTCAGCTGGGCAGTGCCCTGCTGCTGGGGCGGGGTGGGGCGGGGCTGCTCTCACTGTCGGGGGAGGGGGAGAGCGTGTCTGCTCCTGTGGAGTGCTGTCTGCGGTGCTGTGCCGACTAGCTGCCCTTTTCATGGCGTCCCAGATGTCAGCTGATGTTTACTCACCTCTTGCCCTCTTCAGAGTCCGCCGCGCCCTTGGCCCTGATAACAAAGGGCCGTTCTCGCCGTGCCCAGCTACCTCCTCCAGGGCTCCTCTCACAGGGTATTTATTTACATGGGGGTCTGTCCATCCCACAGGACAGAGCCCTCCCCCCTCCCCCCGGAGGCAGCCAGGAGATGGAATGGCCTCCCTCGACACAAGCTGGAGTCTGTGCCAGCCTGGCTTCTGTAACGGGGTGCAGAAGGCTCGCCTCCACTGCCGGGCTGCTGCGAGCCCTGCCCAGAGCTCGTCTCCAAGGCCACCCCTGCCACCTCCTGACTGGAAGCCTCCAGCTGCATCACGTAGTGTGTGTGCATGACTGTCTGCTCTGAGCAAGTTGGAGAGGCTGGCGGGAGGGGGGGGTCTCCCCGGGTAACCTGACTTCTGTCTCTGTCACAGGTGACATTTTTCTAGTGTCCCCTACTTGCTATTATAGTCCACATAAACTGCAAGGTTCGTCTTTAGCCTAACCTCCAGCAGATGTTGGGAACTGGGCACGTGTCCCCAGGGACTGCCGGTGATGCCGTCACCTCATCGGCCCCGCTGGGCACACACCCCACACCTGGGCTTTGGCACTGGCAGGGTTAGAAAGGCCCAGCACCAGGCCTAGGTGGCTGGCGGCGCTGAAGAAATGCCAGGCTCAGCTGGAGCGTCTCGCTTGAGATGCCATTGTGGAGTAAGAGCCACCGTTATCCCCGCTGGGCCCCCCCGCAATCTCCTGTGCCATCCCCGTACATGCCAGATAACGCCTGACACCTGTGACGCCGCAGGCCGTGAGAACACCAGATTCTGAGACCCAGCCCACTCGGGCAAGCCACTAGGGTCAGCTCCAAGGGTTTATAGGGATATGCCCAGAAGTGCCACCCTTGTGGATTTGGGGAAGCCAAGGACAGTCCCTATCTTATTCCTAAGGGTGGGGGTGGTATCCAGCCATAACGTCCTTCCCAGCATGCCTTCTGCCTTCCTTCCATCTATACATTGCCTCCCCACCGCGACACATCCTCTGGCCGAGTGACCTCTTGTCTTAGACTTGCAACGCTCCAGGGGTCTGGTTTGCCCTGGGTAGTTGGGGAGGATTTCAGGGCCCCAAGCAAAGTCAGGTCAGCCTAGGTTAGGATGGCCTGTCTCAATCTGGGACCCAAAGCCTAGCAACTTCTGGCGCAGGGTGGGGGGTGAGGGCACAGAGGTAGCCCCCACTTCCAGCCATGGCCCTGCCCTAAGGTTGACAGAAGATGGGGAGGTCCTCGCAGGAAAGGGCAAAGGCTTTCCTAAGGGCAGGGCCCCGGTGCAGAGCAGACAAAACTGGGACTCCAAGGTGCGCACCCTTCCCGTTACCAAGCTGGGTGTGGCACAAGCCCACCGCAGCTGCGCAACACAGGTTTAATGTTAGGTCGGTGGTGCCCAGGGGTCGGTCCCCTGCGAGTCCTCAGTATTCCCAGAGCGCTTCCGCCATAGGCAGGTCTGCGTCAGCACGCAGCAGCCCCGAGGCACCGCCGCGCAGGTACTTGCCACTGAGGGCACGGATGGCCAAGCGGCCACGCTCTCGGAACTCGAAGAGGAAGTCCTCCGCCAGGTCGCCGTCACTGCACACGCTCCCGTGACTGCCAACGTACCAGAACCCAGCTCCAAGACCTGGGGGCAAGGCCGGAGGTCGGCAGGGCCGGTGCACCCCATGCCCTCCCTGCGCCTTTTGTTCCCACCCCACCCCCGCACCTCTGATCTGATAGGCGCCGTCCCTGAAGCTCAGGTGGAAGACATCATAGGTGGAGCGGTTGGTGTCCAGCTGGTTGGATCCCCGGCGGTGGCAGACAAAGCCATCCAGGCCCCGCAGCACCAGGATGGGTCGGTTGATGAGTTTGAGGGTGAACAATTCGTCTTCGCCTAAGGGAGAGGACGCTGCGGACCACTGCTGCCCATACCTGTCCTACGCAAGCCAGAGACTTGGGGGTCCAGGTGTGCCACTCACTGCCTAGTGTGCTACTGTGGCAGGGAACCTAACACGACCCAGCCTAGGCGTTCCTAAAGTCCAGGTGTTCAGAAAGCACCGGGGTCCCCCAAAGACAGTAAAGGAAAAAGAGACCCTGGGGTCTGACTTCTTCCCCTGACGAACGAAGTGGGGAGGGAACCTCAGACGCACCGGCCCTGGGAGGAAAGCTGCACCAATTTACAGAAGGCACCGGGGTGCTCACCCACAAAGTCGCTGATGGCGGCCAGCTGCCCGTTTTTCTTCATGCATACATAACGCCCGTTGCTGGCTTTAAGAGCCACTCGCCGGCCATGCCATTCCATTTCAAACATGGTGTTGGCAGAACTGGGGGGTTGGGGGAGGAGACGGGCAAGATTTCAGAGAGCGAGGCGTAGTTTGGTCCCCCTGTACTCATTGGGTTCCGGGGGTGAGCTAGAAGCCTGCCCATGGCCAGTGGGAGCTACTCCCCACCCCGGGCGAACATTTTCCACCTAGGTCGCTATCCTCATAGCTTAGGCTGTGCCGGGAGTGTGGTACTGGCAATGATGGCCTGGCCGTGGAGGAGGCGGTGACAGAGGTGATAGTGGTCACCGGGTGCCGTGGGGCCTCCAATCCCAGGACTGGGGGGTTGGGGTGGGGGGAGAGCAGGGCAGGGGCACATCTCTGGGTGGGAGGCCAGCCTGGTCTATATTGTGAGTTCCAAGGCTACAACACTGTGAGCCCTGTCTCAAAACAAACAAAAAAAAGGCGGTGGTGGTCGTGTCTGTAAGAGATGGTGATGGGGGAGCCGGCAGTGGTGGTGACAAGGGGCGGGTGCACTCACACTTGAGTGGCTGTGGCCTGAATGCCCCCGTGAGTGACCAGGGTCCAGTAGCCACCAGTGCTGGAATAGAAAATACACTTCTTTGTCTCCTGGTCAATTTGCATCAGGAAGGTCTCGTGGTCCAGTTCTTCATCCTGATTGGCCGAGACATTGATTCCTGGGGGGAGAAGACAGGGAAGCCCCTCAGCCCTCCTGGCAGGCAAGAGATGGGGAAGCATGCCTTGGGGAGAGCGGGAAGCCGGAGGGAGTCTCGGTTAGAGCCCTCTTGTCTTGAGATCTGGAAGCCCTCTCTCAGAGGCAAGAGAGCCCTGCCCAGGACCATCCAGACACCAGTGTACCCCACACACGGCCCCTAAAGGATCCACTCTCAGCCCTGCTCTTCCCTCACTCCCTGGGATAGTTAGTACCTTTAATGCCGGCAAAGCCCTGTCTGCCAATCAGCAAGTAATCTGCTTGTTCCTGCCCTATTGACCCAGGATTTACAGCAGCTTCTATTTATAATTCACCCTTAAGCTGCTGAGGGGGCCGGGGCAGTGTGTGTCTCTGACCTTCCCTCTGAGGTGACCTAAACCATAGCCAGAGACTAGGAACCAGCCCACCTCTCACACACGGTACCCCGGGGGCCCGAGGGGAAGGCAGGCTGACGGGGCCAGCCCACTGTGTGTAATGGAACAGCCCGCAGGCGCTGAAGCCTCCTCAGGGTTGTCCTAGAAGCTCTGGCCCCCTCCCACGACTCTGAGTAGGGGGGGGGGGGGGCAGATAGAGCCCACATGAGCCCCAGGGACTCAAGGTGTAACAGACGGAAGCGGGGGTGGGGGAGGGGCTAAGCATGAAGGCGGGGCCACATCTGGTCCAATCCTGTAGGGGAAGAGGGGAGCAACCAGACAGCAACCCCTAGCGCAGAGGCTGAGCTCTTCCGCCCTTCTCTAGCTCCCAAAGGCTATGCCCAGGCAGCCTCACACTGGGAATCATTGCTTCCATGTCCCAGTTGGCTTTTTTTATAAGTTGGTTTATTTTTTTCCCATGTGTACGAGTGCTTTGCCTGTGTGTTTATCTGTACCATTTGTGTGCAGTGCACTCAGAGGCCAGAAGAGGGCATCAGAAACCCTGGCACTGGAGTTACAGACAGTCGTGAGCCACAATACGGGTACTGCAATTGAACCGGGGTCCTCTGGAAGAGCAGCCAGTGCTCTTAACCACTGAGCCATCTCTCCAGCCCCCGGCCCAACAGCCTCTTTTTTTTTTTTTTTTACTGTCCCCACCCCTGCTAGCTTCGTCATTCCAGCAACAAATACTAAACTGGGTGGCTGGCACCAAGGACAGCCCTCCACCTCATGCACCAAGCCCACATGGTGGGCAGAAGTCAGTGGGGAAGTCTGGGTAATGCGTCTCATAAGGCAGGATGCCGTAGGCCGCAGGAAAAGTGGCCTCCAATGGGGACAGAGGGCAGAACCAGGTCAATGGTCGTTAGCTGGGCATGCCAGCCAGCACCATCCATCGATGGCCGCGGGAGGGGTGCAGGACCCAGAAGGTTCTGGCAGTGAGTACGAGCTGTGTCTGCTAGGATTTGGGAAGGGGTCGTATCAGTCTATTACTGGCCGAAGCGAACACTCATAGCTGGGCTGCACGTCGGCCCTGCAGTGCCCAAGAAGGCAGAGACAGGCTGGCAGAGGCTATGGAGGGGCAGCAAAGGAGTCCAAGTGGGGGAAATTGCAAGCTGGGGCTCATAGGCAGCTCCTAACTGGGAGACAAGCTTGGGGCTGTCTCTCCAGGTGACCATAGCGAGCTGAGCGGCTACCCCATAGATGCCCTGCCAGCCGGGACAGAGGCCCTTTTCTGTCTGTCTTGCACCCCGACACGCAAAGACCTGCCTTCTTTTACCCAACATCATTCCCCAGGCTGACAGCTTGCAGGCATCACCAGCTGAGGAAGCACAGATGAGTACTCAGTGCCTCTACTGCCAAGTCCTTAGTAGGAGATCCCTCACCAAAAGGCTGGAATCCCAACCTGGGTGTCAGAACCCTGAAAAGATTGGTGAGATGGCTTAGCAAGTTCAGGTGCTTGCTGTGAAAGCCCAGAAGCCTAGGATTGATCCCTGGGATCCATGTAAAGGTGGGGGGGGGGAATTATTCCATAAAGTTGTTTACTGACCTCTACACCTCTACAGGTGTGTCATGGCATGCACATGCCCACACATCACACACACCATACACACCACACACACATCACACACACAATATACAATTTTATTTTTTTCAAGACAAGGTCTCACTATGTAGCCCTGGCTTTCCTGCAACTCCCTGTGTAAAAAAGCTGGCCTCAAACTCACAGAGTTCTGCCTGCCTCTGCTCTGAAAGTTCTGGGATTAAAGGCGTGTGCCACAACCACACCCAGCCAATAATAACAAAAATTAAATGACTAAAATGTGGACTGGCCAGATGGCTCCGGGTTTAGGAACACTTACATCCTTCCAGCGGACCTGAGTCCTGTCCTCGGCTCCCTTTGTCAAGTGGTCTACAGTTGCCCATAGCCTAGGGCTCTAGATAACCCAACACCCTCTCCCGGCTTCTGAAGGCGCCTGCACGCACCCCTCCCTCCCACATGTGCACCATAATATTCTTTTTTTTTTTTTTTTTTTTTGGTTTTTCGAGACAGGGTTTCTCTGTGGCTTTGGAGGCTGTCCTGGAACTCGCTCTGTAGACCAGGCTGGCCTCGAACTCACAGAGATCCACCTGCCTCTGCCTCCCAAGTGCTGGGATTAAAGGCGTGCGCCACCAACGCCTGGCTCATAATATTCTTTTAAAGGCTGGAAAGCAATCCACACAGACACTGCCCTGCCCAGCTCCACCATCTTTCTCTCCAGTGCTGGGGTGGGACTCGGGGTGCGGCACACCCTACCTAGGCAGGTGCTCCCCAGAGTCATCTCCCCAGCCCCACATCCCCGCCACCAACTCCCAAGCCACGGCCACCTCTAACACCGTCACAGGTTCTACCACCCTCCTTAACTCCACCGTCTCCACCTATCCCCTTATCAACACAACCACTGCCATCGCCATCTCCACGTCCTCCCCCTCCCCGTCCCCGTCCCCACCTCCACCCCTGCATCACCATGCCATTGGTAGATAACACTGCCAATCCCACCACGGCACGGCCACAGGTACTGACACTACCGTTGGCGCCCTCCTTCCTGACTCCTTTACAGGCTACCTGCTGCAATCACTGCACGCACAACGCGGCTGCCACTACCCCCCCCTCTTCCTCCTCCTCCTCCAGGAAGCACCTCACCACCACTGCCCCGGCTAGCTTGCTTAGTTAAAGACTGTGGCGGGCATCTGAGCCTTCTCCAGACCTGGCAGTGTGTCTGGTGACTATGCCTGTTGTCACTCCAGACTGACCTAAAGGAAACGACTGCAGAGCCCGGTGTTGGTGGCGCACGCCTTTAGTCCCAGCACTCAGGAGGCAGAGGCGGGAGGATCTCTGTGAGTTCGAGGCCAGCCTGGTCTACAAGAGCCAGTTCCAGGACAGCCTCCAAAGTCACAGAGAAACCCTGTCTCCATACGACTGCAGGTGTAGGTCCTGGGCAAGCTGGACTCCCGCATGGGTGTCCCTGACCGCCTGGGAGGACCTAAGACACCCAAGGAGATCGGAGAGCTGCATACCGTAGCGGTGGGCAGTGGCATGATAGGCACATGGGAGCTCCCCTTTCTCTGGCAAGCGCTGGCAAGGAAGGGGTCTAAGTGAGTAGGAGGGGCATTCCCTGCCTCACCTCTTCATGTGAGCTCAGTGGACTCAGGTCAGGCACCCCGGGTGCGTGAGCTCAGAACCCGGACGGAAACAAATCTACCTTCTAGCCCGGGCCAGGGTTACACCAGTAGCCTAGGGCCACTTTGGCTTCCTCATGAGGCAGTAGGAACACTGTGTTTACCCCAGACTGCTCAAGTGTCACACAAGTGACCAGCGGCCAGGAAATGGAGAGCCAAGCCACACCCCACAGGTGGAAACGGCACCTTTCCCCTGAAAGCACAGCCCCTGGTCAGGGTCGCCTTGGCTCGAGTCTACTAACGCTGAAGATAACAGCGAACTCTCCCACTCTTGGGGCCCCCACAAGGTCCCTGTCGGTCAAATATATGAAAATGGTACCCTCCCTTACCTCCCCCAAAGACCAGAAAAGCGGGGCTGTCAGGAGAGCAAGAAAAAGCAGGATCTCCCCAGCCTGCTTCCCACCCTCCCCGCTGCCCTTAGACTCTGCCTCACCGGACCGGGGGTCTTAGAGACAGTTGCCGTCAGCAGGCACCAGATTCAGCTGGTGTACGCAGAAACACCCGTGTCCAGTGGACACACACACACACACACACACACACACCCCTTACCTTGCCTCACGGAGACATAGCGGTGGTTGGCAGCCACCAGCACCACCTGTGGGTGGCTTTGCTCTAGGTCGAAGAGTTCATCTTTGCCGGGCCTGGTATTGCGGCCAGCCTTGAGGGTGCCAGCAGGCCCCACGGGTGCCAGGTAGCGGCCGTCGCAGTCCTTGAAGGCTAGCTTGCCTGCCTTAAACTCTAGTGTGTAGCAGGCGCGGGCTTCGGGTTCCCAGACCAGGTGACCATCGCTGCGCAGGTAGCGGCTGTCGTGAGACTTGAGGCAGTACCGCCTACCCCGGAAAATGAGGGTGAGCAGCGCATCCACACCCCACGGCATGTCCCCGTCTGCTGCCATCTCGCCCTCCTGCAGGCACAGGTGCACATAGCGCCGGCGGCTCACACTCAGCAGATGAGCCTGCGGGTGGATGGCCAGGTGCACAGTCCAGAGCTCTGCGGGGGAGACGGCTGTGGCAAAGCAGGACAGTCGGTCCTCCGTGCCACCAAAGAAGCGGCCGTGTGGCTCTGACTGCAGCACCCAGCGCCCATCAGGCTGCGGCAGGACCAGGAAGCGGCAGTCTCGGCCTGGCCGGTCCATCTCGCAGGCCACGCGTCCGTCTTCTCCTGCTGACAGGTAGCGGCCTAGGTAGCTGCTGCGGAACAGCACGGCCGTGCCCTGCCCTGGGTCAGGCTCCAGGACCCATATCTGCTTCCTCTTGAGGCTGGACGCCGAGGCGTTCACCTTGAAGCCGAAGTTCTCTGCCGTCAGATAGCGGCTGGCGTCGTTGACAAGGCCGAACTGGATCTTCAGCACCTGGTGCAGTCCGTTGGTTGGCATCTTTGGGGCTAACCACGTTGCTTCGGGGGCCTGGGAAGGTCTCTCTGAGTGCCCAGGGGCCCTGTGGCCCCCCCAGAGGCCCAGCTCTGTTTAGCTGGCCCTTGGCCCCCAAGCCTAGCCAGTGACATGGACGCTACCTGCTCCAACGCTGCCTCTGTCTTGTGGCCTTGGCCACCCAGGCAGATCTATACATGGCCAGCGGGCAGCCGAGGGCGGGTGAGGGGGCGGGCGGATCAGAGATGCGCCGGCTTAGGAGGAGTAGCCACTTTGCCCTACCCCCAGCTTGGATTTCAGTGGCTCCTGGATAGCACCGAGGCCGGAGCCTGGTGCCTAGCAGGACAAGAGCAAGACTGGCCACCTCCTCCGTCCTCACCCACGGCTGCCTGGGCCCGAGGTCCTGTCCTGTGGGTCTCCCACCTCTTAGCTTCTCTTCTGCCCACCTATTGCTTCAGGACCTTCCAATCCCCACCCCCCAGCTCGGACCCCCCAGTCCAGCCCAGCTCTTTCCCGAGGTAGAAAAAGCAGCCCAGTGGAAAACTCACAGCAGGGCGGCAACCTGATCGCAGCCCTCCACCCGTAGTGGCCACCCGGATCCTCTGCAGGATCCAGTTACCGCGTCTCTGATTCCCAGGAGCAGCAAGGCCCCCCGTAGCACGCAGCAGCAGCCTGGCCTGTCCCTCTGGCCCATGGTTCCTAACCGCGTGTGCAGCCCTGGGTCTGACACTGTCCCTGTCTATGGGCTGGAAGGCAGCCAGCGGGAAGCATGTAAGGACCACTAGCAGGACTGGCAGTGTGGAGACGGGGGCCCTGATGTTCCTGGTCCACTTGGTTTGGGAAGAGCAGACTCGTATGTACGACAGGGAAACCGTGTGATGTTCACGTCCAGGACTGCGTTGTGCAGGAACACACCCTTGTAGCCGGCAAAAAGCCAGGGTGTGCCAGGGTTCCTGTGTACCCTGACAGCTGTTGGACTGTGATGCTCTTCCCCTTTATGCAGGGGGCCCAGGACGATCTAGCTTCAAGGGCCTCCAACAGATTTGGAGACCCCAATACTGCTGCTCAGATCACAGTGGGTTATGGCTTGGCTCGTGGCCTTTACAGACTTCAGTATAGGTGTGTGTGTATGTGTGTGTATGGTGCAGTCTTTCCCCCAGGTTTCCAAAAGTGCCCCCCATGGAATCCAGGGCGGGGATGGGAGATACCGGAAGTTGGCCGTACATGGCCACACCTGGCTGCTGTACCCTCTCCATCCTGAGTCCCAGAGGAAGCTTATAGAGGGCTTCAGTGGGCCTGCCCGGTTTTACCCTGCTTTCCTGTGTGCGGCACCTGCCTCAGGGGACCAGAGCCAAGTGGGAAACTGGAGCTGCCCGTCCTGGGCCTGAGCCAGAAGTGGCGTCTTCCCACTCATAACTGTGTGACTTCGGTGGACTGGAAAGCCCGGGACAGGGTGCGAAGGCCTTCCTGGGGGGGGGGCAGCAATAGGAGGACGTGGAGCACTCTCAGTCAGGGCCCCAGCCCTGTCATCCTCCTGGACCCTCCAGCCTCACGTGGCTGCGGTCGGGGACTGACACAGAGGCAGACAGGCACAGGCGTCTGTCTGAGGAGCACGCGGAGGGTGAGGTAGCTCAATGCAATGCCTGAGGAAGTAAGGGGGCCGTCCTCAACAGGGGGCGCAGGGTAGGATTCCTGACTGGTTGCCAAGCGCTAACCCCACCGGTTTCAGCTCTCTTCCTGCTCTGTCCCCCCTCCCCTCTGTGGCCCACACACATGCACAAGGCACCCACTGAAAGTGTGACTGGGCTGTGTGCCTAGTACCGCCCTACAGGTAGTCCGGGGTAGCATGACGCCCATGCAAAAGCCCCCAGTTACCATGCTGGTTTCCACACTGAGGAGCGTCCCTGGCTTGGAGCAGTCTCTCCCATCCATCAGGTCCCAAGGTGCTAGTTAGGTTTGTCCGTGAGAGGGGAAGGCCTGAGAGCCGGCTGTGCCCACGATGCGCCCTAGCCCCAGCTAGCCAGGCTGCAGAAGAGCCCTGGGTGTCTGGTCCCTCTGATTGGCATAACGGCTTCATTAGCTTGACTGGTGCTGGCGAGATTCCCCGGCATCAGGTACCTAGCGGGGGGAGGCCTGGCCGCCAGGCACTAAGTGGCCTGGCTCTGGACAGTCTCTTGGTAATAGAGCCAGAAGTGTAGGTGTCTATTCAACTTTGGGACACTCCCCCCAACAGCCCCAGATGGAGCAGAGCTGTCGGCATTGACGGTTGTGTGATATGAGGGGCCTGCTGGGCTCCAGGGTGTGTGAGTAAGAGCTCCTCGGACGGAGGTAGCTTTCTTCCTTCCTTTCTTTTTTTTTTTCTGGTTTTTCAAGACAGGGTTTCTCTGTGGCTTTGGAGGCTGTCCAGGAACTAGCTCTTGCAGAGCAGGCTGGTCTCAAACTCACAGAGAGCTGCCATGTGGGTGCTGGGAATTGAACTTGCATTCTTTGGAAGAGCAGCCGGTGATCTTAATCACTAAGCCGTCTCTCTGGCCCCAATGCACACCTTTTTTTGTTGTTGTTGTTGTTGTTTTTGAGACAGGGTTTCTCAGCCGGGCGTTGGTGGCGCACGCCTTTAATCCCAGCACTCGGGAGGCAGAGGCAGGCGGATCTCTGTGAGTTCGAGGCCAGGCTGGTCTACAAGAGCTAGTTCCAGGACAGCCTCCAAAGCCACAGAGAAACCCTGTCTCGAAAAAACAAAAACAAAAACAAAACAAAACAAAACAAAAAAAAACAAAAAGACAGGGTTTCTCTGTGTGTAGCCCTGGCTGTCCTATAACTCGCTCTGTAGACCAGGCTGGCCTTGAACTCAGAGATCCACCTGCCTCTGCCTCCCGAGTGCTGGGATTAAAGGTGTGCGCCACCGCTGCCCAGCGTGCAAGCCTCTTAGTCTCGGGTTCACATATGTGTCTGCCACTGTGGCCTCTCCAGGCTGCACCCTTGGGACATCCCCTCTAGGACCCCATCGATCCGCCCTGAACCAGAGGGGGAGATGGTATGCCCAAAGCATAGCTGTCCCAGTGCTGCTGCCCCAGGTCTGGGCGCAGATGCCAGGCCGCCTGATGCGCCAACTTCAACAGGTGTGTCTTGGGGGAGGGGCACCTTTGATGGATGGACTCAGAGGCCGCCGTTTAGGTGAGCAACGCCCCTGCCCACTCTGGACCCAGCAGGGGCCATTCTAACCGCAGCTGGGCCTGAAAGGCAAGGGTCGGCTCAGCTGTTAGTCTGGCTGTGGCAAAGTTAGGGTCCGAGTTGATGCCCTTCTCAGTAAGAGATCAGCTGGGGGCAGGGGAATAGAGTGCCCTGAGGGCCCCCAGACTCAAGGTGTTCACCACACTCCTCGTTCTAAGGAAACCTTTCTCCGAGTGCTGGGGGACGGGTCCTTCCTGGACACTAAGGGCCTCTTCGCCGTGTCCCCCAAGCAGGCCCCCAGTACTGTCAACAGTACCCCAGAACTCGGGATAACCCTCCACCCCCATCTAGATTAGCCCAACCTGGGGCTCCTGCCAGCATGCTGCCTGCTGCCATGGCAACCAGCACGTGGGCCAGGCCAGGCTGGGTGCCCAGCAGCTCTGGTGTTGGCAGTGCGAGCCTGTCGGTACAGGAATGGGTTGTTTTCCCCTGGACGGCCTGGAGCCCTGGAAGCTGGGAAACAGCCGGGGAGACCCGTGGCCCAGGGTGACCTTCCAACGGCCCCTCCGGGGAAACCAGGAAACCCCAGGACTTCACCCTTCCCGGGATGCTCCCAGCCCCGCCCCTCGGCTGCTGCTGCTGCTGCGGTTGAGCCCTCTGCCCCACCGACATCTCCCAGGCTAACTTGCCCCTGCAAGGAGGGCAGGTACCCAAGTGGCTGCCCAACACGACCCCACACGCCACACCTCGGTGTCCTTGGGCAGGGCGCCTGCTCCTGCCCAGGGCCCGGCTTGGCCTAGGCCCAAGCCGCGCCTCCTGCTGTGCCCTCCTCCCTGGGCTCTTGAATCAATTTTTCATGCTCGGCTCTCAGTGCGCGGTTCCGCTTACACACGGCGGAGGGGGAGGGGCCGCGCGTCACTTTCTCGGCCCAGCTCCATTTACTGAGGCCTGCAGACCTGGTTTAGGGTAACAGGCTCTGCCCCACGGGGAGGTCGGGGCGGGGCGGGGGGAGGTCCTGTCAGAAAGAAGATCATGGGGAGGGGGTTTCTTTTTTTTTGTGGTTTTTCGAGACAGGGTTTCTCTGTGGCTTTGGAGGCTGTCCTGGAACTCGCTCGGTAGACCAGGCTGGCCTCGAACTCACAGAGATCCGCCTGCCTCTGACTCCCGAGTGCTGGGATTAAAGGTGTGTGCAACCAAAGATTTCTTTATTACATACACAGTGTTCTGCCTACATGTATCCCTGCAGGCCAGAAGAGGGCGCCAGATCTCATTACAGATGGTTGTGAGCCACCATGTGGTTGCTGGGAATTGAACTCAGGACCCCTGGAAGAGCAGTCAGTGCTCTTAACTTCTGAACCATCTCTCCAGCCCTGTTTTTATTTTTTACTTTTGAGAGTGTAATATAATCACATTGTTTCCTGCTTCCTTTGCCACCCTTCAACCCCTTCCAAGTACCACCCTCTGCTCTTTCAAATGCATGGCCCCTCCTTTTTCACTGCTTTAAGACAGATTTCCCCGTGTTGCATAGGGTGGCCTCTACTCTGCAGGGTTGAAATTACAGGCATGTAAAACATGGCCTGGGCCGGGCGTTGGTGGTGCACGCCTTTAATCCCAGCACTCAGGAGTCAGAGGCAGGCGGATCTCTGTGAGTTCGAGACCAGCCTGGTCTACAGAGCGAGTTCCAGGACAGCCTCCAAAACAATACAGAGAAACCCTGTCTCGAAAACCAAAAGGGGGAAAAATCCACAAAGTGGTGACGTCTCGCAAGCAAGCTAAGACAAGGGAGGGGAGGGCCGGAGGACTCTGTCACCTCAGCAGATCCCAAGGCTCCAGCAAGGCCAAGAGTCTCCAAGAGGGACGTGAGGGCAGAGCAGAGGGTGTCACAAACACACGTGTGACCGCTGGGTCCTCTTCCCCACTCATACCTCAGGGCAGGGAGCACTCATGAAGCGCCTGCACCTGGGTCCCTGGATGTGTGGGACTCGCTGAGGACCTAGGAAACGGATACCTGTGTGCAGACAGTGGGAGCCCCCAACACTAGGGGTGAAGGCAGCCTCAACCCAGCCTTCATCTCTGAGATCTTGCCATTTCTGTGGACACAAAGGCCCAGCTGTGCCGGGAGACACAGCCACAACTGCCTGCAGAACTCAGCTTGCTCTCCATGAACTAGACCCTCCTCAGGTCAGTCCCAGGTACCGGTAGTGTGTGTGTGTGTGTGTGTGTGTGTGTGTGTGAGTATGCATCTTTTGAGTGTGCGTGGATGTATGAATACGTCAAAAGTTGACACAGGGTGCCTTTCAGTTGCTGTCCATCCTCCCTTTTAAATTATTTATTTACTTATTTATTTATCATGTGTGTGCGGTGAATTCTCTCCTCCCACCTTTGCAAGGGTTCCGAGGACGGAACTCAAGTCAACACATTTTCACGGTAATGCCTTTCCCTCCTGGAGCCCCTACCTTACCCTTTGAGACTGGGCCTCTCACCTGGAACTCACTGACTCAGCTACACTGGGAGGTCCCTCCCTATTTCTGCTTCCCAAGTGCTGGGATAACAGGTACACACTGCTACAACCTCCTTGTTTTCGTTAGGGTTTCTACTGCTGTGGTAAACTCTGACCAAAAGCAACTCGGGGAGGAAGGGGTTTATTTCTTCTTTCATCCCATAGCCCACCGTCCAGGGAAATCAAGGCAGAAGCCTGGAGGCAGGAAATAAACCAGGAGCCATGGAGGGCTTGTTGTACCTGCTTTCTTTTATCACCTAGGACCCCCAGGCAATGTGGCTCCACCCACCGTGGGCTGGGTCCTCCCACATCAGTCATTAATAGTCATTAATTAAGAACTCACAGAGAAGCCGGGCACACTTGGGAGGCAGAGGCAGGAGGATCTCTATGAGTTTTAGGTTAGCCTGGTCTACAGAGTGAGTTCCACAAGGCCAGCCCTGATCTACAAAGCAAGTTCTAGGATAGCAGGGCACCCAGAGCTGTTACACATAGAAACCCTGTCTTGAAAAATGAAAAAAAAGAAACACTCTTGTATGCGTGTGCAACAGGTGTGGTGATATCTGAGCCAGAATTGGGCATCAGCCGTTCCGGAGCTGCCGTAACAGGTAGTTGTAAGCCTCTCAGGGTGAATGACTGAAATCAAACTTGGGTCCTCTGGAAGCTGCTGAGTCATCTGTCCGCTCCTGGCACGGGCTACAGTCTCATAGTTAATTTTATGAGTAGTCACAGAATGAGAGGTCTTGGAAATTAAAAGTATGAGTGTTTATGACAAAAAAAAAACCCACAATGTAAGATCCTGGGTTAGACCTACAAAAAAATGCTCTAGAATTATTAATGGATAAAAATGGCCCCCAAAGGGGAGTGGCACTATTAGGAGGTGTGGCCTTGTAGGAGGAAGTGTGTCACTGTGGGGGGGAGGGGGCGGGCGGGCTTTGAGGTCTCATATGTGCTCAAGCCACATTCAAGGTTTCAGTCTGCTTCCTGTTGTCTGCACCCCAACGTGTATCGGCTCCTTCTCCAGCGCCAAGTCTGTCTGCAAAATGCCGCCGTGTCTCACCACGATGGTAATGGACTGAACCTCTGAAGCTGTAAGCTACCACCTCAATGAAATGTCTTCCTCTCGAGGTGGTGTCTCTTCACTGCAATGGAAACCGTAAGACAGCAGATTACCATAGAATCAGTTTGGGTTTTTTGTTGTTGTTGTTGTTTTGTTTTGTTTTACGAGACAGGGTTGCTCTGTATTGTTTTGGAGGCTGTCGGTCCACCTGGCCTCGAACTCACAGAGATCCGCCTGCCTCTGCCTCCCAAGTGCTGGGATTAAAGGCGTGTGCCACCACCAACTGGCAGAATCGTTTCTTTTTTTTTTTTTTTTTTTTTGTTTTGTTTTTCGAGACAGGGTTTCCCTGTGGCTTTGGAGGCTGTCCTGGAACTCACTCTGTAGACCAGGCTGGTCTCGAACTCACAGTGATCCGCCTGCCTCTGCCTCCCGAGTGCTGGGAATAAAGGCGTGCGCCACCAACGCCCGGCTCAGAATTGTTTCTTGATCGATGCCGTGAAGCAGGATAAAATGCAGGGGCATCGTGCCTGGGCCAACTTGTAAAATGCCTCAGAAATAACGAGACAGAACAGCAAGCTGTTTCTAAAAGGTGTTTTAAAACAGTGATATCTGCCACGTGGTGGTGGCGCACGCCTTTAATCCCAGCACTCGGGAGGCAGAGGCAGGTGGATCTCTTGAGTTTGAGGGCAACCTGGTCTACAAAGTGAGTTCCAGGACAGGATCAGCTGTTGGGGGTGCTGGCTGATCTCCCAGCAGTTCCAAGTCCAGTTCCCAGAACCCACATGACAGCTCACAGTAGCTTGTAACTCCAGCTCCAGGGGATTCAATATCCTATTCTAGCCCCCAATAGTGCCTGCATTCATATCAAACACACACACACAAATAGCTTTTACTTATTTATTTATTTGAGACAGGGTTTCTCTGTATTGTTTTGGAGGCTGTCCTGGAACTCACTCTTGTAGACCAGGCTGGCCTCGAACTCACAGAGATCCGCCTGCCTCTGCCTCCCGAGTGCTGGGAATAAAGGCGTGCGCCACCAACGCCCGGCTCCACAAATGGCGTTTTAAAAATGAAAAATTCCACCAAATGACTATAAGTCAAGGAAACATTCACATACTCATGCCATTAAGAAGACAGTGAGAGGGGCCAGTGTCCAAAACAATACAGAGAAACCCCGTCTCAAAAAACCAAAATATAAAATAAAAAAGACAATGAGAGGGCTGGAGAGATGGCTCAGAAGTTAAAAGAGCACTGGCTGCTCTTCCAGAGGTCCAGGGTTCAATTCCCAGCACCCACATGGCGGTGGCTCACAACTGTCTGTAACCTCACACAGACATACAATGGGTCAAAACACTAATGTACATAAAATACAAATAAACAAGTTATTGTTAAAAAAGACAACGAGACTGACCCTACAGAGTGAGTTCCAGGACAGGACAGCCAGGAATGTTAAACAGAGAAACTCTGTCTGGAAAAAAAAAAAAAGACCATGAGGCAAAGATGGTGCTGACCTTTAATCTCAGCAGAGGCGGGTGGATCTCTGAGTTCCAGGACAGCCAAGGCTACACAGAGAAGCCCGGCCTCGAAAAAACAAACACCAACAACAAACAGACAACGACGCAAACCGCAATGCTCTCTGTGACTTTGAGGCCAGCCTGGTCCGCGGAGCGGCTACATATTTCGGCAAACACTCAAGATAAAGAGGAGGAAGAAAAAACTAAAAACCTTTGACTCAGTGGGGAGGAGATCAGGTGTGTGTGGAGGGGGCCCTGCTCGGAGTCCTAAACCTCTACTCCAGACCACATCCGGCTCCGTGACCCGCACACCCTCGTCTACTGTGAATCACGCTTGCTTTTCTTTTCTGAGAAATGGTGGCTGTTAGGTGGCTCAGTGAGTGACAGTGAGACCCGGTGACACCCAGGGAGTACAAGGCGAGGCAGTCGGGAGCACACCTCTCCCACCTCTCCCGCTAGTGAATAGACACCCCAGGTCACGGGGCGCGTTGCTTTGGGGGTCCCTGAGTGTGCGTCTGCTCCCAGATATCCGAGGGGCTGGTCCTATCTGGCAGTGAGTCCCATCTGTTCTTTCTTTTCTCCTCTGTTCTGGGCGCTGGCTGTCCCAGCCCCACCTCCTCCCGTGCGTGCGTCAGCACCAGCTGAGGTCACCCGCTTGCTTGGCCGCAACCCTGCCTTGGTTCCGCTGGCACGGATGACTCAGCGGTGGGCGAGCCCAGCCCTGCGTGGTTCCTGGCTTCGGGGTCCTTCTCGCCTTGGAGGTGGGGATGACTTGGAACCGCAGGTGAGCTGCACCCCTCCCAGTGTCAGTAGCGGAACCCCACCCCCCTGGCGGTCCCCACGGGAATGACACGAGCCAGCCAGACCCGCCTTCCGCATGGCCCGTGCCCGGGGCGCCCTCTGCTGGGGCCTGGACTCCAAGCTCGAGCGCGGGGCGGTCTCAGGAAGGGGAGGCGAAGCCCGGGCAGTGCCTCGCTTTCCTCCAGCCTGCAGTTTGGGGCGCGGGTCAGGCTTCCCAGGACTTGGTGTTTGAGACAGCCTTTCCGCACCCCCCCCCACGACCATCCATCCATCCGCCCCACTGGTTTTCCTCCCTAGGTCCCTTGCGCCCTCTGAAGACTGGTTTCTCCGCGCGATGCCAGTGCTGACCCCGAAGACGGAAGGGGAGAGTGCGGACTGGCTCCGAGGATGCGGGTAGCGAGAGGCTAGCAGCTGGGCAGCTCCGCCCTCCATCGTAGTGGCTCAGACACTGGACTTGGCCTGCGAGTGCAAGCTGGGTATCTCAGTGGGCAGGTTTCCCACGCCCAGCAGAGCACACTCCCACGGGGCCCCGCCCAGGTCACGCCTCCCCCCGCACCCCCAGGGAGGGCAATCGCAGGGTCAGAGTGTCCCTTCTGAGCGTCCTGCAGAAACTCCAGCCACCCCTCCGCCCACCTGCTTTTGTGCGCAAGCCGCTGCAGCAGGTGGACAGCGGCGAGGCACAGTACGTTCAGATCAGCAGCTTTCCGCCCTTTTGTCCGGCCCCGACCCGCCCCCTAGTCAGGCGCCGAGCCCAGCCTCCGGAGGGTGGAAGCCAGCCCTGACCCAGACTAGCTCTGCAGGCTACTCCCTGCAAGCCAGCTGCCAGAGCGGGAGGTGTGGTGGCGAGGCTAACCTGTCCTGTCCCCTGCAGCCCTCTCAGTCTATCTGGGGTCACCAGAGCTGATGAACCGGGAGGGAATGGAGAACGGGATTCCTGCCCCTCCCGGAGCTCCAATCCCTGCAGCGTGAGGTCAGGGTGGGGGCTGAAACGGAATCCGCCCCATTTTCTTGGTTGCCCGGGCCCTGCCCACCTCTGCCTCCTTCTCCAGGGCTGGGGAACCCCTCCCCCTCCCTCCACCTGAGGACGGGGCTTCTGAGGCTACTCACTGGGTGTAACTTGGAAGCCTCAGGTCGCCGGCCTATGGTGGGGGGCAGTCAGTTAACTTAGGGGCGGAGGTTGGAAGCCAAGCAAGCAGTGGTCAGAAGCCGAGGCTCAGTGAGCAACGATGGAGCTGAAGGCTGAACCACACAAGAGCCCCATCGAGAGAGAATGGGGACACACAGACCTCACTGTGGGGCCCAGTTTGCAGCTGAGCCTGAAGCAGGCTCAGACAAATGAGTTAAGTCAGAGCGCTGAGAGTAGGAACTGCGGTGTGTGTGTGTGTGTGTGTGTGTGTCAGCTTTAGGATGTGCTGGGCTCTGGGGAGGTGTCTCGGCACACTCTCCCAACACCACTCACCACCACACCACAGGCCACATCAGCACAGCGACGACGAGACGCCTGGGCTAATTTGTGGCCCCGAAAGGAGCAAGGCCCTTGGGGGAGAGCCATCGTCTCTCTTTCCCGAGACAGGGTTTCTCTGTGTAGCCTTGCCTGTCTTGGAACTCACTGTGTGGGCCAGGCTGGCCTTGAACTCACCGAGATAGGCCCTGCCTGTGCTGCTGGAGTGATGGCATCAAGGGGTGGGCCACCACACCCGTGCAGCGTGTGTGTGTGTGTGTGTGTGTGTGTGTGTGTGTGTGTGTGTATGAATTAGTCTCCTTGGGGCCTCAGCTGGCCAGGAGTGAGTGTATCCTTGAGAGCAGGCCAAGGCACAGGCGGGCAGTCCTGTCTATGTCTAGCCTCGGGTCTGACACGTGGGGTCACTGAGTGAAAAGGGACTACCCGGGGGCATCTTGGAGCAGTTGTGCACTGGGCAGATGCCTTCCCTGGAGGGGGAGGGGCAGGCTCGCAGTTGGCCAACATGCTGTTTCGTGTGGTGGGGGTCCGTGATGCCCTGCAGATCCTTGACCTCCACGGCTGCCGCGCGTGCGTGCGCCCCGAGTTCTGGCTCACTGCTCTGCCACCGGAGACTGCCCGGGTCTCACGCTCAGTTTTAGAGCCTCCTTCAGCGACAGGGCCAGGCCTGTGCGTCCTGGCGCTGGACGGACAAGCAACACCCACTTGCATTTGGTGCGTTTGGTGCGTCTGCAGAGGCCTAGGACAAGGAAGTGAGCAGCGTGGCGGTGTTTAGGTTTGCATTTCCTCGGGCTCTGACGTTCTGCTTTTTATTACGGTTTTTGGACTTAGAGACCCGGCTCAAAGACAGCAGAGGAGTTCGCCCATTACCATTTAAGGTCAGCATCCTACCGCGCGGCAGCCCGCCCTCACCTGAAAGGTTAACCTTGGTACTTACATTCCAAACCTGACCTGAATCTCACGGCTTATTCGGTCTCTTCTGCTTCAGGGTTAGGCTGACATCCCCGATGGCAGAAATAGCAGAGACCGAGCATGGAGGCCCAGGGCCAAATTTCTTGTTCCGTTTGCCTAACAAGGCAGCCTGTTAGGAGGAAGCGTACAGTACCCAAGGTGGGTGGAGCACTGCTGGAGGACCGAGGTACCAGGCACAGAGGTGACCACAAGTTCAAGGAGTATCCAAAATGTCCGCGGGGAGAAGGGACTGACAGGTTGCAAAACAAAACAAAACAAAAGACACATGGGAGGGCTTCAGGGTGGGGGCAGCATGCATTAAATCTCCTAACTCCTCGCCCCTTGGAACTGCTGTTTTTTTTTCATCCATGAAAACGACCAGACTGTGAAATAAGCATCGAGGTCACAATAAAAAACTGACCAAAGCCAGCACAGGAAAAAAAAGAAAAAAGAAAAATTCCTGTCATTTCTCTAGCCTGAGTCTCTCTTTACAACGAGAGGACACGCCCACTTCTGGCCGCTCAGCAATCGCTGCCCCAGCTGGCCTGCAGGCTCACACGGAAGGCAGGCGTTCTCCAGTCCAGCTCCGAGAGGGGTGGGGCCGCCAACTTCCGCAGCAGTCGAGCTGGGCCGGGACCTGACCTTGGGTGAGGCCTCACGCAGTCCGGTTGCAAAGCAGAAAAGACAAAAAAAAAAAAAAAAATCACAGCGCGCGCGCACACACTCACACACACAGCCCCTCGCTCCCTTCCTCCATCCGGTGCGCGGCGGCGTTGGGAAGCCTGGATGCCCCTCCCCCGCCGTCCCCGGGGAGGGCCGCGTCTCTGAACCCAGGCGCACAGCCGAGGGGGTCTCCGGCGCGCACCGGCCGGGACCGCCGCCCCTTTGTCCCGCGGGCCAATGGGTAGCCTGCTTGACTAAATAAGGCGAGGAGCGCCTCGTCCGTTACGTCCGTCCCCCCCAACCCCCGTGACTCAGGGCGGCCGCGGGCCTCCCGGCTGCGGGCGGAGCGCGCACGGGTCGAAATCGCCAAATATGGCCGCGCGCCGCCCGCCGCCCCTGCCCCCACCGCACACACCTGAGCCGCACCTGGGCCCCGCCGCGCGCATCGCCGGCGGCGGGTGGGGGGTTGGGGTGTGGGGACGACGACGAGGCGCCCCCGCCGGCGTCAGGGGGGAGCCCGGCCTTACAAAGCCGTCCCTGAGTCGCGCGGTTGCCTCCTGCACACAGGCAGACAAAGGCGCTCTGGAGAGAAAGCCGGGGTTTGGGTAGCCAGGGGCAGCGAGAGATGGCCCCTGGCGAGGGCGGCCCCCGAAACCTCCCACTCACTTGCACGTCCCTGCGTGTCTCAGTGTTGTGCTACCGCATCTTGGGGACCCCCCCACCTGCGGGAAGGCCGCGCAGGCTCAGGGTTTCTACCCAGGTCACGGTGGGGGGCGGGGTGGGGGTGTCTCTGGGCGTGCAGCCCTGCGCGCACCCTTCGTTGGAGGCGCCCACATTTGACAGGCTACTCGGGGGGCAGCGCCCCTCTCTCTAGGCCCGATGACAAGGGTGACCGGGTCCTGTGGACAGCGGGTGGACTGGGGCAGGCTGCTTGGCCCTCTTGAGTCACACGGGGAGCTGATCTCTTGCAGGAATGAGGGGGGTTGTGAGTGGGGGGCATCGCCCCCTTTCCTGCGGAGTCGAGCTGGTCGCCCTGTGACCTTGGGAGCCCGCCGCGCGCCCCTCCACCCCGCCCCCTCTGCTTGAGGCTACACTGAACAACCCCAGAAGCTTACACACAAACGCAGGAAGCTACAGGGCCAAAGCTTCCCCTCCCGGGTACCATCAAGGCGGAGCACACTCGCTGCAAGGTGCCGCCGCGACCCTGCCGAGGGTTGACAGGTTACCCCAGCGCCGTCTGACGGGGAGAATGGCAAGGGATGCCCGCCCCCAGCGCGCCAGTCTGGACCTAAGGCACCTGCATTCCGTGCCCCAAACCAGTTCCACCCGGACCTCAGTTTATCCAGGGTGTCTCGCCCAGCTGGCCTAAGACGGGGGCGGGGCTAGAAGTCCTCCCCTGCCTCAGTTTCCCTGGAATGTCCACAGACACGAGCCTGACACAATGCCCACACACCACCACCACCATGCATGAGGATGGTCAGCGATAACCAACCCCGGGCCTGCGTGTGTGTGTGTGTGCGTGTGTGTGTGTTGGGGGGCGAGCCTCCTCCGCTGCAGGGGCCAACGCGGACGTGGCCGTAATGGGGGAGCCGGTGACCCCCTCTTCCACGTGATCAGAAGCGATGATGACCGCACCCCGCAACCCCCCGGGGGTCCCCCCTGAGGACCCCTTCCCCAGCCGGGCACCCGCTGCTGAGGCCCCGATCTGTACTGAAGCTTCCGGGAAGGGGTGTGTGTGTGTGCGGGGCGCAGCACTCACGAGGGGCGGGGGCCGCGGGGCTCACCCCAGCTCGGGGCGCGGCCCGCCTGGGACCTGGCAGTTTCGGGGCGCAGCCCGGGCCCTCCCTGCTGCAGTACCGGGGACAGGGCCCGGCCTGTCACCCGCAAGCCCCTCGCCGAGACCACCCCCCCACCCCCGCCCCCGGGAGGCCAGGCCCGCGCCGCCCCGGGTCTCGAGCACGCGGGGGCGGCGCGGGCGGGGCCGTTGGCGGAGGCGCGGGCGAGGGGCGGGCGGGCCCCGGGCCCCACGTGTCCCTGGCGGGCGGGCCAATGGGCGCCCGGCTTTTGGAAAGATCGCCATATATGGACATGTTCTGGGGCCGCGCGCGCCCTCCGCCCGCGCGCGCGGCCCGCTCCCGCTTAAATAGCGGCGGGGGAGGCCGCGGTCGGTCTCAGTCTCCGCCGCCGGCCTGCGCTGCGTGTTCCTCTCCCGCTGCTCCGTCGCCCCGTCCTTCGCCGGTAAGCGGCCCCGCGGCCCTCGCACCCGCCGCACCCACTAAACCACAACCCGGCCCGGGGCTCCCCTTTGCGGGTCGCTCTTCTCCCGGGACGCCCTGCCTGCCTCCCCGCTTCCGTGTGGAGCCCGGCCGGGGTGGCCGTGGTGCTGCATCCGCGCCTGCTGCATCCCGCTGGGGGCAGGGCGGGGCCCGCCGCAGTGCGCAAGCCCCTCCGCGGCGGAACGGGGCGTGGGATGGGGGGGCGGTGAGCCGCCGGTTGCCGACGGTTACGCGGGGCCCCGGAGGCCGCCCTGGGACTGGGTGGGGAGGGACCGACCGCGCTCCTCCTCCTCCCGGGTGACTCGGGCGGGAGGGCCGCGCTGATTTCCCCGTGGCGTGTCCCCGCACAGATCGCAATGGAAGAGGAAATTGCCGCCCTCGTCATTGACAATGGCTCCGGCATGTGCAAAGCTGGCTTTGCTGGCGACGACGCCCCCAGGGCCGTGTTCCCTTCCATCGTCGGGCGTCCCCGGCACCAGGTGAGTCGAGAGGGGCAGAAAGAGCTCCCCTGGGCCTCGGGTGCGCTGCGGAGGAGGAGGAGGAGGAGGGTGGGGCGGGCAGACATGACGGGCTCTTCTCCTCGCAGGGCGTCATGGTGGGCATGGGCCAGAAGGACTCGTACGTGGGTGACGAGGCCCAGAGCAAGAGAGGTATCCTGACCCTGAAGTATCCCATTGAGCACGGCATTGTCACCAACTGGGACGACATGGAGAAGATCTGGCACCACACCTTCTACAATGAACTGCGTGTGGCCCCTGAGGAGCACCCGGTGCTTCTGACCGAGGCCCCCCTGAACCCCAAAGCTAACAGAGAGAAGATGACGCAGGTACGTCACAGGCCCGGGCCCTCTTTCTGCCACCCTTGAGCCTGACCAGTCATTTTCTTTTCCCTCCTCGTTTCCTGATATTCAAGTGTTTCTTTGGTGTTTCCAGGGTTCTGTTGTTCCTCCTCTCCTGGCATTTCCTCCCTGAAGCCTCCAGGTTTCTGTTTGCGTTTCTGCCTGTGTTCTGATCTTTTTTTGTTTATTTTTTACTTCACACATCACATTTGTGGCATGCAGCATGTAGCGTGTGGGTATGGGTGACTCCGGGTCTGCCGCTCACTAAAGTGTCCTTCTCTTTGTCCCTCTGCAGATAATGTTTGAAACCTTCAACACCCCAGCCATGTACGTGGCCATTCAGGCGGTGCTGTCCCTGTACGCATCCGGGCGCACCACTGGCATTGTCATGGACTCTGGTGACGGGGTCACACACACAGTGCCCATCTACGAGGGCTACGCCCTTCCCCACGCCATCTTGCGTCTGGACCTGGCTGGCCGGGACCTGACAGACTACCTCATGAAGATCCTGACTGAGAGAGGCTACAGCTTCACCACCACGGCTGAGCGGGAAATCGTGCGTGACATTAAGGAGAAGCTGTGCTACGTTGCCCTGGATTTTGAGCAGGAAATGGCCACTGCTGCATCCTCCTCCTCCTTGGAGAAGAGCTACGAGCTGCCTGATGGGCAGGTGATCACCATCGGCAACGAGCGCTTCCGGTGTCCAGAGGCGCTTTTCCAGCCCTCCTTCCTGGGTAGGTGTCCTGAACACGGTGCAGGAGCCACAGGTTCTTGTCACCTTGGAAGGGGGTGGGGCACATGGAAGTCAGTGGGTGAATGAGCTCTGTCTGTCCCCTAGGAATGGAGTCCTGTGGCATCCATGAGACCACCTTCAACTCCATCATGAAGTGTGACGTGGACATCCGCAAGGACCTGTACGCCAACACAGTGCTGTCTGGTGGCACCACCATGTACCCAGGCATTGCTGACAGGATGCAGAAGGAGATCACCGCCCTGGCTCCCAGCACCATGAAGATTAAGGTGAGTAGCAGCCGCCAGTCTGAGCAGGCCTAGCACCTGAGGGAGGGAGGTAGGACCCCAGACAAGTTCTCATTCACCGTTTCCTCTGCAGATCATCGCCCCCCCTGAGCGCAAGTACTCCGTCTGGATTGGCGGCTCCATTCTGGCCTCGCTGTCCACCTTCCAGCAGATGTGGATCAGCAAGCAGGAGTATGACGAATCAGGCCCCTCCATCGTGCACCGCAAATGCTTCTAGATGGACTGAGCAGGTGCCAGGCATCTGCTGCATGAGCTGATTCTGAAGTATCGATTTGCCCTGGCAAATGTACACACCTCATGCTAGCCTCATGAAACTGGAATAAGCCTTTGAAAAGAAATTTGTCCTTGAAGCTTGTATCCAATATCAGCACTGGATCGTAGAACTTGTTGCTGATTTTTGACCTTGTATTCAAGTTAACTGTTCCCTTGGTATATGTTAATACCCTGTGCATATCTTGATTTAGTCCTTAGTCATGTGGCTCGGTCACTTGGTGGCTGGGGAGAGCGCGCTGTGGAAGAGAAATCCCCAGCCTGGTGGATCTGTGTGAGCACCATGCAGCGATCTGTGCAGGGTATTAGCCGACAGCTGACTTCCAGGATTTCTCGAGGCTGGCAAGGATTCTTGAACCAGTCACCACTTCCGTCTTGCCGGTCTAACAGGGTGGGAAAGTCCGAGCCTTAGGACCCAGTTTCCGTTCTGGTGTTTTCCCTCCTGACCGCCGTGGGTTGTTACTTGCCTTGAGTTGGGAACGTTTGCATTGACACCTGTAAATGTATTCATCCTTTTAATTTATGTAAGGTTTTTTGTACTCAATTCTTTAAGAAATGACAAATTTTGGTTTTCTACTGTTCAGTGAGAACATTAGGCCCCAGCAACATTGTGTAAAGGAAAATAAAAGTGCTGCAGTAATCTCTGTCCTCCTGAAAGTCCTGTTGGGAAGGGAGGTGGGGTGGGAGGGTTGTTGGCTTCTAAAAATTTGGGGGTGGGGAATGACTTGGAAATTCCAAGCCCGTTGCTATGCAGTGGAGGCCTTCCCATTCATTGAGACTGGGAGTGGTTATATTATTGTCTGTTTCCTCAGAGACTTTAGTTGAGGCAGGGTTTCTCTGTAGCTTTGGAACCTGTCCTGGAAAGTAGCTCAGGCTGGTCTTGAATGCAGAGATTACCTGCCTGCTGGGGTTATGGCCCTCCTGTTGCCTGCTCTATAATAGATTCAGGCCCTTGAATCCTCCCAGCATTGCTGCAGGCCGCATCCTCCAAAAGGTGAGGAATTGGGCTGGATGTCAATGAAGCGCAGCTTGTCTAGGATTGCTACGGAAGCAAGAGCACACAACCAGCCCATGTCTGTTGTCCTTGGCAGGGCCTCAGGTAACCATGTGTCTAGGACTATGTCTTCTCCAGATGAGGAAAACTGGTTAACGTTTACAGCGGCACTGGCCCTAACATCCAAAGGGTAGAAAGAGCCCAGAGCATCTAGCCGTAAAGCAGAGCAGGTCTGGCAGCCGCTACAGTGCGAACGGACCCTGAAATTCAGGCTGGTCATCAGGAGATGGTGCTGTTTGCATATGGCAGTGGAGTGACTGCTTAATATTAGGACTAGGGGTAAATTTCAATACCTACTGAAGTAGGCTGCTTGGCTGCATGCACAAGGCCTTGGGCACATACCCGTTACCTCAGCACGCAGGTGGAGGCAAAGAGGATCAGAAGTCTTATCTGCACTTACAGTGAGTTCAGCCAGACCCACCTGAGACCCTGTATCAAAAACAAACGGCCGTAGGGGGTTGAGGGGGGGAGGATTTTTGGAAAGATGGCTCAGTGGTTATAAGCAGGTAGTGGGTGCTCTTACAGAGAACCTGGGTTCCGGGTTCCTTTATCTTCATGGTGACTCACCATAACTCTAGTTCCAGAGGGCGGAGGTGGTGGCACACCCCTTTAATCCCAGCACTGGGGAGGCAGAGGCAGGCCTGGTTTACAGAACAGTGCCAGGACAGGCTCTAAAGCTACATAGAGGAGTCTGTCTGGAAGGCCCCCCATCCCCCCCACAAAAAAAACCCTAGTTCCGGTGGATCCAATGCCCTTTCTGTCCTCTGGGCTCCTGTAAGAACTGGTGCACATAAACACAAAGGCACACACATCAACAATAAAAATAAAAGTGCTAGATGTGTCCCACTCCAGAGGCAGAGGCAGGCCCATCTCTTGAGTTTGAGGCCAACCTTGTCTACAAGTGAGTTCCAGGCCAGCCAGGGCTACATGGTGAGATCCTGTCTAAAAAACCAAAATAGATAAATGACAGACAGGACAATGCTGCAGTGCTGGTTGGACTGGGGACTCTAAACTCTACATCCAAAAATCCAGGAAATCCAATCCATCCGGTCCTTTTTAGGCCTGGAACACTGGTCCACCCTCTCTGCCCCACCCACAGCCAACCCCCACTGGTCTACTGTGGAGGACTTCCTTTCCAGCTCCAGACTAGCCCAAAGCCTACCCTCCGTGGGGGCCAAAGCCGGCCTGTGTTGTGGGGTTCATAGAGATCCAAGCCTGGTGTCACTCTCACACCTGGCACAAAGCCGGCCCTGGAATGTGTATTTGTGAGATGACATGAGGTGGTCACATCAAGGCATTTTTTATTTTACTTAGTTCTATTTTTCGAGAGCAATCTGCTAGCTCAGGGGAGAAGGTCACAGGCTCTTTATACAGGTGGAGAGCAGGCCCAGATTTGGGATAGGGTGTCTGACGTCTAACCCTTCACCATTATCAATACAGCTTCTGTTTTTTGTTGTTGTTTCTTTTGTTCCCAGGCAGACTTTCTCTGTGTAGCCCTGGCTGTCTGTCCTAGAACTAGCTCTGTAGATCAGGCTGGCCTTGAACTCAGAGCTCTTCCTGCCTCTGGCTCCCAAGTGCTGAGATCAAAGGCGTGCGCCACCAACGCCCGGCGACGTAAGTATTTTTCAAAGAAATGAAGAATTACCAGTTGTGAATTAATGAGAGTGTGGGGTCACTTATTATGCAGTAGCATAGCAAAGTCTCCTGCCTGATACCTAAGTATACCATGTACCAGTAGCATCCGTACCGTAGGAGTTGAGTGGATGAAGTCTGAATGTTTATTTTTGACATGAGCACAGCCATATTTCGAGGACTCCAATGCCTCAGACTCGTGGAAATGGCCAAAGCCTTCTCCAGGTGGGGCTCAGAGGAACAGCAAAGTCTTCCCTGGCTCGAGTACACATGTTATGAAGGATTGACCTGTGTGCAGAAATTACCACCCATAGCTCCCTCCTCCAAGGTGACTGAAACCCTAGCCCAATCCCTTACAGAAACCTACCAAGATTAGCCAACCCGCCTTCTCTTTCAGCTGTGGGCATTACACTTGCCTCCTGGATTCAAACGCAGAATAAACCCATTGGCGGGCTGGAGAGATGGCTCAGAGGTTAAGAGCACTGACTGCTCTTCCAGAGATCCTGAGTTCAATTCCCAGCAACCACATGATGGCTCACAACCAGCTACAATTCAATCTGGTACCCTTCTCTGGCATGTAGACAGAACACTGTATATGTAATAAATAAATAAATCTTTAAAAAAAAAAACATTGGCCGGGCGTTGGTGGCGCGCGCCTTTATTCCCAGCACTCGGGAGGCAGAGGCAGGCAGATCTCTGTGAGTTCGAGGCCAGCCTGGTCTACAGAGTGAGTTCCAGGACAGCCTCCAACACAATACAGAGAAACCCTGTCTCGAAAAGCCGAAAAAAAAAAAAGATGTATATACGCTTCACCTTCCCTCCGCCATCGTACAGTGTTACGTCTGGGTCAGTGTCTCATCATGTCTTCTCACAAGACTCTCAGAATCAAGCGATTCTTGGCCAAGGAACAAAAGCAAAAAAAAACCAAAAAAACAAAACAAAAGCAAAATCGCCCTATTTCTCAGCGGATGCGGATGAAAACCGGTAGCAAAATCAGGTACAACTCCAAGAGAAGACCCTGGAGGAGAACCAAGCTGGGCCTCTAGGGATTCACACAATCAATGGCAAGAACTGAGAGTTTGCACTGAATGGTGGTCAACGCAAGCTATGCTACCGGATGAAGTTTAACATTTTTAACCTGGAGATTTGGTCATATTTAAGTTGGGATTGATTTGTCCAGTAATAAAAAATATAGAGCCTTTCAAAAAAAAAGATGTATATATGGTGTGTGTGAGAGAGAGGGAGAAACACAGAGACAGAGACAGACACACACAGAGAACATGCTGTGTGTGTGTGTGTGTAAGAGAGACAGACAGACAGACAGACACACACACACACACACTTACACATACACAGAGAGAACATGCTATTATATCTTCCCCCTTGTTGACACAGAGAGACAGAGAGGGGGGTGAGGGAAGGAAGGAGGGAAAGAGAGAGAGAGAGAGAGAGAGAGAGAGGGAGGGAGAGAGAGAGAGAGAACATGCTATATCTTCCTCCTTGTTGGTCACTGCATAGCTTTCTGGGAATTCTCCTGTTTCTGCCTTCAGAGCCCTTATAGACACATGACTGTGTGTGGTTGTATATGGGTCCCGGGAATTCAAACCCAGGTCTTCAAGTTCCATTTCTGCAGCCAAGGCCTTGGAATGATTTGTAGTTATGAGTATATGTGTATGCTTGCTGGAGTCTGTGTGCACTATAGGAATGCTATGGAGGACAGAAGAGGACATTGGGTGCCCTAGAACTATAGCTACAGATGGTCGCGAGCCACTATATACGTGCTTTTAAAATTGTGGTAAATGAGCTGGGCGTTGGTGGCGCACACCTTTATTCCCAGCACTCGGGAGGCAGAGGCAGGCGGATCTCTGTGAGTTCGAGGCCAGCCTGGTCTACAGAGCGAGTTCCAGGACAGCCTCCAAAGCCACAGAGAAACCCTGTCTCGAAAAACAAAAAAAAAAGAAAAAAATTGTGGTAAATGCCCATCACAAAATGTATCCTTTTAACCCTTTTCTCCCCCTGACCTTGAGCAGGCTAGGAAAGCGCTATCCACTCTTCGATTTTTTATTCTGAGAAAAGGTTTCACAGGTTAGCCTTGATTTGGAGTACTTCTGCCTTAGCCTCCTGACTAACCAGAATCGCAGGCCTGACTCAGCAGCCCGGGTTCTCCTCTGTGCTCTTGGTATTTCTCTCCCACTCTTCCAACCATTTTTAAGTATACACCTAAAACGTGGGTGTGGTGGCTCACGCCGATAATACCAGTGCTGTGGAAGCTAGGAGGAGAGAACTGCTCTGAGTTCAAAGCTGAAGAGCAAGATCACCTCTCAAACCAAACACCAGGGCCAGAGAGATGGCTCAGTGGTTAAGAGCGTTGGCTGCTCGTGCAGAGGACTTGGGCTCAGTTCCCAGAGCCTTACATAACTGCTCACCAGGTGGCCTGACACCCACTGAGGGCACGCGGAACATGTGTTCACACACACATACATGCAGGCAGGCACTCATACACATAAAATGAAAATGAGTAAGTCTTTTTCTTTTTGTTTTGTTTTGTTCTGGAGACATGGTCTCCCTATGTAACTCTGGCTGTCCTGGAACTCTCTATATATATCAAGGCAGCCTCAAACTTACAGATCCACCTGCCTGTGCCTCTTGAGTATTAAGATTAAAGGCGTTAGCCACCATGCTCAGCTCCATAATATTTTTTTTTTTTGGTTTTTCAAGACAGGGTTTCTCTGTATTGCCTTTGGAGGCTGTCCTGGAACTCGATCTATAGACCAGGTTGGCCTCGAACTCACACAGATTCACCTGCCTCTGCCTCCCAAGTGCTGGGATTAAAGGCATGCACCACCAAAGCCTGGCATAAATAAATCTTAAAATATATCTATTATTTTAATTATGTGTATCTGTATGCCACATGTGTGCAGGTACCCACAGAAGCCAGAAGAGGGAGGGCACCAAATCCCCTGGACTTACAGATGGTTGTAAATCACCATGCGGGTGCTGGGAATCAAACCCAGGGCCTCTGGAAGAGCAGTCAGTGCTCTTAACCTCTGAGCCATCTGGCCAGCCCAATAATGATAATTTAAAAAACAGAAGTTCTGGAAAATGAAAAGATTCTGAAGGGGGCTAGTGAGATGGCCAGCGGTTAGGAGCACTGACTGTTCTTCCAGAGGTCCTGAGTTCAATTCGCAGCAACCACATGGTGGCTCACAACCATATGTAATGAGATCTGGTGCCCTCTTCTGATGTGTAGATGTACATGGAGGCAGGATGTTTATTCATAGTAAATAAATAAAATCCTTTAAAAAGAGAGAAAAAATTATTATTATTGACTGGTGCCCCACAGAAGCCAGAACGGGGCATCAGATCTGATGGTACTGGAGTTACAGACGGTTGTGGATCACCGTGTAGTACTCGGAATTGAACCTGAGTCCTCTGCAAGAAAGAAAAACAAGTGCTCTTAACCACTCAGCTGTCTCTCCACTCCTAGAGCTCATATTCTATTCTTTTTTTGTTTTTGTTTGTTTTTTCGTGACAGGGCTTCTCTCTATTGTTTTGGACTCTGTCCTGGAACTTGCTCTGTAGACCAGGCTGGTCTCGAACTCACAGAGATCCGCCTGCCTCTGCCTCCAGAGTGCTGGGAATAAAGGCGTGCGCCTCCACCGCCCAGCCATATTCTATTCTTAGTAAAGTGCAAAGGTCATCCACTGTGTTTAGGGCCCGTTACCCTGTGGATCGGCATAGGCTGCTCCCTCCTAGCTGCCCTGCTGATGTGGATCCCATGCCTCCGGAAGTGGCCACCCTGGAAGTGTTGTGCCTACATTCTGAACCCTCATGTCACCAAGACACCTGTTCGAGGGGCTGGAGAGATGGCTCAGAGGTTAAGAGCTCTGACTGCTCTTCCAGAGGTCTTGAGTTCAATTCCCAGCAACCACATGGTGGCTCACAACCATCTACAATTCAATCTGGTGTATATGTAATAAATAAATAAATCTTTAAAAAAAAGACACCTGTTCGGATGCAAGAGCAAAGAGTCTTTAATTAATTAACGAGTTAACTGTATTAACTCAGGTCTTCGATCTGTCTGACATAGCAGGTAGAGCAACAGGGACCCAGAGGGACTGTGGGGCGGAGCAAGGGGTCTACAACAGTCTCAGTATTAGTACATTCCGAGCTTGGATGACCTGTCCTGTGTTGGTTGGTCCTCCTGGGGCGGTTGCTATGCTCTGCCCATCACCATTGCTGTAAAGCACATCCAGAGCCCGCCAGCTAACTTCTGATTGGTTCCTTGCCCCGGGAGGGTATCTGGCTTCCTACAGACTGGGGCAGGTCCAGCAAGGTCAGAAGTTCGGAACACGTGCTGAGTCAGAGGCCTACATCTCGCTGGGTCTTTTCTGCAGCCTGTCGTGGCTGCTAAAGCAGGGGGCTGGGTGAGGGTCTGGTCCCTTCAGAAGGTGTGCTGCAAACCCTGACTGGTGGGTTGTCTCCAGGCCTCTCAGGAAATACCTGACATTGCCATACAGAAACCAGAAACCCAGCCCAAGAAGCATCTCAGAACTCAGGCGGCAGAACCAGCCCAAAGAGAGTTCAGAGCCCTCTATGTCCCATAGAGAATGAGCGGTATGGAGGAGCCTGGAACGATCCTGGAACTTACAGGGCGTGGAAGGGCAGGCAGTTCCAAGATTCCCCAACGCTTGGGTGCCATGGTTCAGACAAGTATCCCAAGGCCTTGAGTGTCCTGGCTGCTGGGCCCTCCCAGCCGATGAAAGCAGGAGATGTAGCTTGGAGTACGTGCGTTTGGAGTACATGCATGTGTATTTACCTTGTGTGTCTGCACACATACCAAGGCTTTTCCATATGTGGCCTGTAGCATGTGCTGGTGCTCAACACCAGTTCCCGCCGAGGGCCGACTCAAGCAAGCCCTCCCTACCCTCCTGCCACTCCATCCCCCGGCTCTTCCTGGAGGCTCCGAGTGCTGGTCTGGTGGGCACAGCATGGAACCAACCATGAAGATGATGTTACCGGCTACAGTCGAAGTCTCTCTGCGGCTTCCTTTGCCTTTGTTCTTACACTTTGCACTAATTTTAGCTCCTGAGGTCACTTCCTCTTTCAGTGAGTGAGGTCAACCCTCCCCTTCAGCAAGGCTGTCGTGATGCGGATTCCTGTCACTGTCTGAACTCCATCCTAGCTAGGATCCTGTTTCTTCTAAAAGTGTGCTCTCTGTCTTTGTGTGTGTGTGTGTGTGTGTTTGAGATAGGGTTTTGCTATGTAGCTTAGCCAGGGCGGATCTTAACCTTGTGATTGTCTGTCCCAGCCTAAGCACTGGGGTCACCGGTATGTACCACACACAGGTGTGTACCACCATGTCTGATCTGGGTGCATCATGACTCCCTTTTCCTGCTGGTAGTTTCCTTGTTTTGGTCTTTGTGTGGTGCTGTGACGGTGCCTTACCCATCCAAGGCGACCCATGTGCTACACAAGAGCTCTGACACCAGGCCGGTCCTTGGCGAATTGATAAATGTGAGACACCCATCCTACAGCAGCACGTAGACCATGCCACCACCCCAAAACACCTTCACTGACCGTCTTTTCAGTCCACCCTATCTCAAGCCCTGGCGATTGCACAGTTTTGCTTTTTTCTAGGATGCCCCTTAGGTGGGATTACATGGTGGCCTTTGCAACTGGCTCATTGCCCTGGGAAGTATACATCTAAAATTCCCCAGGCTCTGTGCCAACACTGGTTCCCCATTGCCACAGTCCCTGGACCAGAAAACCCGGTGTGTTCACCTACTGACTGGGGAGAGCTCTTTTCAGTTCCCAGTCACTATGAATAAACATCACTGAGGTTTTTACATGGACATGTCTTCCAGTCATTTGGGTAAAACACCTAAGAGGGTTTTCTGTGAGGCAAGACGTTTCCCTTTGTCACAAACTGCCTGGTTGTTTTGCAAAGCAGCCGGGTGAACTGTTTCCCATTCCTACCACCCACGATGGAGAATCCCCACTGTTCCCCACTGTTGGGAGCATTTGATGGTGGTAAGTTTTGAAA